AAATTAATTACAGTAACAGTATTATAAAAGTTTTTATATCTAATAAAAAGTTTTGCGATTCTTCCTTTCCGGGAAATTGACTGTAATGCGGAAATAAACGCTTTATAGTGGAACACGGCCCACTATTAAATACCCTACACCTCTTATTTGCACAAAAGCTTTTCAAAATGTGACGAGCAAAACATGTCCGCATACCAAGTTTCATCGAAACATCGCAAAAATTACCAGCGGTCGATAGAACACACGAATACAAATTGGACAGACGGACGGATAAGCTTAGATCGATATAAGATAGAAAGTGGTTCTGAATCGTTCAATATAATAAAACTCGCCACTCTTCCTTGACTTTGTATACATCCACACGAACCTAATAAATCCTTACATCATCGGTGGTGCAGGACATAAAGATAAGCATTTCAACGTAAAGGGACATTTTTTTGTGCAATGTTGAGAGAGGTTCTCTTCGTGATAAGCTTTGGTTTTGAAACAGTTTAATGTAACGTATGCTACGACTTTGCCGATAACCTAATACATAGACATACATTATATGAATGGTTGCAGAAATAAAAATAGCAGTTTACCACTAACAGTCATTAACACAGATCACTTTCAGAGTGAGCCTCTAACATGCCATTTACATTTTTAACCATGTTCAATTTTCCAACAAATTACGTGTGCGTTTATAGGCACGTAGGCAAATACGTAGGTATGTGCATGTACTTATTTAAATCCTTCAACTTGTACATTCTTAAGATTTTCTGATGCATCCGAACGGGGAACCGGTCCTCAATCATTCTTCTAAATGAAAAGAAAAAAACAAAAACAAAAAAAAAAAAAAAGAAACCAACGAAAACAACAACAGAAAACAAAATATTCGCAAGCATATAATATTGTTAAGGAAAAGAAACGCGCACGCATGCGCACATATACATGCTAAAATTTTTGACAAGCATAGTTAGTTTAAAATGAATTTTGAGCACTCTTTTCAATGCTTGCATTTTAATGGCTAAGATAGTTTAAAAAATTAACCTACAGTTATAATTATAATAATAATAAGAAGAAGAATGTCAGCGAAAGATGAACAATACTAAATACAATCGCAAAAGTTCCGCGATTTTGTTAAAAAGTCGAATGATTGCTTATATATAAACATACATATCAATAATGGAATGCTTGAGAAAATAAAATTTTGACAAATCCATTGGCAAATTTATCATATTTTCATAATATTATATATAATGTGTATAGAAAAATAAGAGATGGAAAAGAAAAGACTGACAAGTTTTCAGTATTAGCATCGAAATGACATGCAATAAAAATGCCAATAAACACATTTGATGGTTTCTTTTCCTTTCTTTTCTTTTTTTCCTTTTTTTCTTTTTTCCTTTTTTTTTGTGTTTTTTTTTTTTTTATCTTTTGCCCTCAAAGCTTTGCTACTTGCAACAACAAATCATTTTATATACACATATATACCAACTTTTCCCAGCATACATAACAATCAACGCAACTAAGCATCACTTCTCTTAGACGTAATCATCATCATTGAGAGATAGAGATAAAAAAAATAATTTTTTTGATCCCAAATCGAAGCTTCAGAGATTGTTTAGACTTTTATTTATGCGATATGTTGTTCGTAAATACTCTTAAGACGTCAAATCAATCTCGCGAAAAAATTGGCCAATATTCGGTACAGCAAATGCATTTCGGGAAACTTTGTTATTTAAGGCCGTGAAAAATTGTGTAAAAATCCGTCAAATTTTATCGTTAAATTACGAATTTTGGGATGAAAGACAAAAATGTTTTGTTCAATCACGAAACAATCTCATCTTGACAAAGTGTGCAAGCAATCAAGAAAGGGCAGTGCATTCTGAAAAATTGTTGTATCCGGTTTTAAAAAAGAGTTTTTCGAAAGTGTTTGATATTTGAAATAACATTAGTAGGTGGAGTAGTATGAATTTTCTCTGTCTCTCTCTCTGTCTCTCTCTCTCTCTCTCGCGCTCTCTCTTTCTCGTAGACTTTTACTCCGATTAACTTAAAGCTTTGAGAAAATAATTTTGACAAGTTGTAAAGTAGATTTTTTGAAATTTCAAAACCCATATAATCTTTCCTCATTTAGGATGAAATGAAGACCAAATGCCCCAAAGTGAACGGTTACAGGTTTATCGTGAACGCACCATTTTTCATGTCAGCAAATGAGGAATGACTTAAACGAAAGCCAAACTACTTTTAGAGCACAGTCTAAGTGTTTGTTCTGTTTTTCTATACCCTACACCACTTCAAGTAGAGGCTATATTAAGTTTAAATGTGGACGCATGCAACACGCAAAAATTCTTAAGATAGGCCACCGTTCGATTCAGAAGTATTGGCGAAATCGAGCTAAACCTGTCCGTCCGTCTGCTGTCTATCTATTGTAAATTTGTGTTCAAGCTACAGATCGCAGATTTGATGAAATTTGGTACACTGACGTGCTTTGATTCAAGAATGAACACTAATGCAAATCATTCGGATCGGTTCACTTTATCGACAAATTACATATTTCAAAATTTCTTGGCAAAAGCCGCTCTATAATGGTATTTGGACATTTTAAATTAGTATGAAAAATTTGGTTCATCTGGGGTAATTTTTTTAAACCTTTCTCTCTTATGAACGTGTGTAGGAAAAGTGAATCTTTGTATGATAAAAAGGTCTCAGGTTCAATATTTCGTTGTGATAATAGGCATAGAAATCAATCTTATCGAATTTGGATCACGTAGGACTATTTTTTTGAATACCACGGCATATAAGAATTCCTCTAATATGCGATCTTTCATCAAAAGTAAGCTTTTCCATGAAAACAAGGCGTCATTTTTGGTGTGTTATCATCAAAACGAACGGATAACTGTATTAGACGAGGTGGTGTAGTGTACGACATCTAATAGATGGCCTTTCTCGACTGTCATATTCTTATTTGCTTTAACTCGCAGTGTTTTGTTTTGTATCCATTTTTGTTTTTTTTGTTTTTTTCTCTTATTTAAGATGCAAAGAATTTTTATTGAATTTTGCCGTTTTTGCTCTTATGTCACAAACCTTTTTAAAAGTGATATAGTAATGATGTATCGAATTGTGTTTGAAATCATGTTTTACGTTCAAGAAATAATTTTGCCGCATGTATGTCGTGTGTGCAGTGCGTGCCGAGCTTCCAACAATATTTAGTTATGCTCTTCTACCAAAGGAAATTTCCCAATAATTCACAAGCATACCAGGATTTGTTTTTTCTCATTTTTCTCATTCTTCTAATATTAAGAAGTTTTTCAAGACTTACTGAGACTTACTTTCGCTTGTTCTTTTTTTTTTTGAGGTCAATTGTTCCAATTTTCTTAATATCGTAACATTTGAGGATACAGTATTCAAGTCTCGATCAGCATGCGCTGTAATAATGTCGGGAATTGCAAAAAATTTTTAACGATCGAGTTTCTCGATCACAATGAACTTTTTGGAAATTTATCTTTTCTCAAAGCGTTTTAGCTTTCTTTAGCGATTTAATCGGTGAGAGGTTTTCGCTTATTCATATCCTTCGATTTAAATTTCAACCACAATAAATTTTTAAATCCTGAACAAAAAAAAAAAAAAAAAAAAAAAAAAAAAAAAAACTCAATACTCCCTCTCCTTACAAACGAAAAAGAAAACAATGTTCCTCGGTCGGTCTGCTGAGCTGAAAACTGTTGCGATTTATTTTCGAAATATATTGGAAAAGCGAAGAATAGATGTCCGCAACATAAGATAATATGATCGATAAATTCGAGTTCAATAAAGTTTAATGGAAAGTTTTCTTGCTGAGTTATGTTACATTGTGCACTCCTTGGTATTTTTATACCAAGCCAGCACCGAAGAATGGGGGGGGGGGTTGGGAGATCGTTTTGTGAAACGATGATATTCAGAGACTCATACGATATATTTTATTGAAACTATTTACACATATCCATCTGTCCTCCGTCTCTCTGCCTAACTGTTTCTCGGACTATTTGTATAATGTCCTTGATTTACCAAAGGCATTTTTCTGATCAAAAAAAATGCAAAAATATTAACACTTTTTGCTCGAAGATTGTTATTAAACATTGGCCAAATCGGAATATATAAATTGTGAATACTACAATTCTGGTATTTTTCTATGATCATTGCTCGTTACCTGAACAAACTAAAACAGATACACGATAAAAATTTCCACATGAATCCTACAAGAATGGAGAAAATCGGCCATGCCCATTCAATATGCATCGTAAACAATGAAATTTAGAATTTTTTTTTTAATTTTGAAACAAAAATGATGAGCATAAACGATTTATTTGCAGATGCATTTAATTTTCTTACTTATTTTATATAATATTTTTTATCAAATTTTTGCTAAAACTAACTTTTTGTTAGCTGCAACAAAATGTCGCATGATTAGAAAAACTATACTTTATTTTTTTTAAATCCAATTTCTAAAATATGTTTTATAATGACTTACATAACTAGAGTTGTAACGAGATAAAGTACTTTACGTTTTTAAGAAGCATTTGTCTCTTATACATCTTAACTTAATCACGATCACAAGACATCTGCGCCCATATATGAGCAATAAATCTAAATATGATCAAGAGTTTAATAATATATATATATATATATATGCTTATGTAAGAATGAATATACGTAAACACACACAAGCACATTGAATTGATAATCAATTTATTATTGTATAATTTTTTAAATACAATTAATTATCCATTTTGTGCCATACATGAGTAATTTGAAAATAAAATCACATATAATATATATAATTTTTTTAACCAACTTTTTTTTTTTTGTATGTATGCGTGCGTGCGTGCGTGCGTGCGTGCGTGCGTGTGTTTGTATGTATGTATGCTTAGTTTAACGAATAATTGACAAATTTTTATATATACATATTGATATATGTTTATATATGTTTTTATATATATATTATATGTATATATATGTATATATATATATATACATACCTGAAGAAATATGAATCCTAATAAAGAATGCAAATGCTATTACGGTTACATCCTTATCACATTATGCACTATTATCATGGCACAAGACCATGTCGGTGTATGCGGTCGCCAGCATAAACGTAATAACGTATACTTGCGTGATAAAATAATCGAATTACAATGTTACGCCAGATGCGAAACAGCAACGATAACGCAATTCGACAAGTGTCTTAAACAATGCCAATTAGAATTGATAAAGGCGCCGCGACGTGGCTACTGCCCGTTCAATTCAATATTTAAGAACATGAACATACCATTGCAAGGCCTTTCCTGTTTATATAATTGTAGCTATGATTACGATTGTCCAGAGGTGCATAAATGTTGCCAATCAACATGCGGATCTGTATGCATTGAACCGTGGGGTGTGCGTGATGATAGCCTATTACCGCCTATACCGAAAATCGAAGAGTACACGCTTATCAAGTATGAGCAAAAGGTGGAAATCAATTGTACGATTAATTCGTTACAAACAAATTCAACATATTTCTTTCATGTCGAATCACGCCATCACGTTGGCCACTCGTTAAGGCCACGCAAATTTGGGGCTTGGCAATATCAACCGGTGGATAAAATTGCTGAATTACATGACTATAATAGCAAACTGTAAGCTGTGTAAGAGTGCGCAGCTAAACGCTGCACACACACACATACGAAAAACGATCATTATTTTTATAAAATTCTTGCAAATAATTCCTTTTTCTTTTTGTTTTTTTTCTTTTTGTTTTTTTTTTGGTTTGCATTCTATTTTCTTTCGCCATTCTCTGTTCTACTGTTGTGCAGTTTTAGTACAAAAGTTGGCTTCCATCTGCGTGCGGTACATTGGTATCAGGTACGTGTTGCTGCGATAAATGCGTACGGTTTTCGTGGTTATTCAGAGCCGTCACAGGCTTTCACTTTACCCAATCGTAAGTTGATAAAGAAATCTATAGGTTGTAAATTAAGATATGGAAAAATCTTTAAGTCTAAGTTACAATCAGATCCCAAACCACCAAAACCACCGGCTGATTTAAAAGTGGTATCATCGCATTTCGATGGCAAACATTATACCGTAAAAATTGTCTGGTGTACATCGAAATCGAATCTACCTATTGAGAAATATAAAATCATTTGGGCTCTTTATGTTAAAACCAAAGATGAGTCTTTCATCTCGAACGAGACATACGTCAAAGAGGTATGTTTTTCTTTTTCTTGTTGTTTTTTATTTATTTATTTTTTTTTTCTATCTATCTATCTTTGTAATTTGATTAAACACAAACGTCGTAATTGTAATTGTTATTATTGTTGTTGCTGGTTTATATATATATATATATATATTATTTTTTTCCATTTCATTTTTATTGCTTTTTTTCATTTTCGCTAAGCAGCGTCATCAATATGAAATATCAAATTTACTACCAGATTCAAGTTATTATATACAAGTACAAGCCATGTCTATAAATGGGCGCAGACGGTTGAAATCGGAACCTCGTTTCATACTTTATAATACCACAACCGCACCCACACATGCCTATAAACCATTGAAATGCGGCAAAGAACCGCAACATATTATCAGAGGTTTTAGTGACAATCAGCTAACGGCAGCAGACGGCAAATCATCATCTATGATAACTTCATCACATAAGAAACTGCTGCAACGTAATGATCCATCGAGTGTAACGAGTGTTGTTAATAGCAAAAACAATAGCAATAACAATAATAATAATAATGATAATAATAATAATAATAATAATGATAATAATAATAATAATAACAACAACAACAATCATAATAACAATAATAACAATAATAATAACAGTACTTACAATGTGCAATTAACAACGAATGCATTCGATATCAAGTTTTGCTTAAATCGTAAAAATGATTTAATCGTAATTATCTCAGGTTTTCCTACACGTAAAGGAAAGTAAGTAACATAACTTTTTTTGTTTTTTGCTATTTTTCTGCTTTTTCTTGCAAGTCTAAAATATATTAAGTAATATTTTTAAAGAGTCCAAATTGGATGAATATTAGCCTCTTTTAAGGTCTTAATAAATTTTAGACTACATAATATATATATATGTATATAGGATGCATATGCATATGCATATATATATATATGTATGATTTGCAATTTAGTATGATTTTCTTCGTTTCATGTTGCTGCTGTTATTTATTTAAATATTACAGAATTTATGAGCTTTGTCCTCAGGAAACGAACTGCGAAGAATATAATGCAATACGAGCAAAAGTAAGTTAATTTGTTTTTACATTAACCAAAAAAAAAAAAAAAAACAACAACAACAACAACAACGCAAAACATAAACTACGCGAAAATAAATGATTTGGAAAATGTAAATTTTTCCTTTTGAAAGTTGAAAAAAACCATAAATTTAGTAAATGATACCCACGGTTATGGCGCATTATGCTTTCTAAAAGCGAATATGATCCGAACTAATATTTTTTCATCTTTTTTTTTTTTGTTTTAAGAAAATTTGAGAAATTACGAGGGCGATATTATAATTACCGGTTTTTTATGGTTTAAAATAAAAATAATAATAATAAAAAAAGTCTGTTTTAAAATCATGCAAAATTTATTTTCACCAAGAAAAAAAAAACAAGTGAGAAAATTAGATTCGGTTGTGAACGAATTTTTTATACCCGTCACAAGGTACCTTGTGGGCGTTGCAAACGTTTTGATAAAACACAAATACATTGCGACAAATTAAACGTATTTTAAGAGTTTTGGCAACCAATTCGTAGAAGAAGGCATACGTAGAATCGAATCTAACATAGGGGGAGGATATTATAGGATGTGATTTTGCAAAGACAAATTTTGCAAAAATAATATTTTCCGTTTTACATAGTTCCGGTAATTATTGATCAATGTATTTTATTCGCCTATAGCTGCACGTGTATCCCCTTTTTCAACTAAATTCTGCATCACTAGAATAAGAAACTTTCTACTTTCACTTGTTTTTATGCCCTTCAACGAATCTGCCATGCAAACCATGCGGTAATAACGCCTTCTACTTATTGCAACTTAAAAAAGTTCTTGTCTTCCCAATCCTACGATAAGGTGCACCAAATCAAAGATAACCAATTGATATTAATGATTTTCTCTTGTTCGATTTTCGCATATTTTTCAACATTTTCTGTTAATTCTTACCATATATTCGTACAAGTGCTTTTATATAATATATAATCTTATATATATAAATGTATAAAAAAAGAGCATTTATCTCCCCTTGAACGTCTCCTGACTAGTTTTATTCTTTTTTTATAGACCTGCCGGTCGTTTGGCCGACATCATTGGTGGTACTTTTGCTTTTGTTTCATTATTACACCTACGCCTTCCTATGTCTTCCACGAAATACGGCAACAGTACATCATTTCTGCAAGCATTTGGCGATTTGAGTAAGATCACCACATATACTTTGTTCAAAAGCGTAACACTTCGTTCATCTTTAGGAGTTTTTTCTCATATTATAATAAGATTTAAAAAATAGACAAGAAAAGTCATTCGAAATATATCAAAACGTTTAAATGACGTTATTAAGCTATATATTAAGTATACTTCCTCAAATATCAATTTTTAATAATATGCTTTTTTTTCCGCATATCCTTCCTTATATGAAAAAATCCCAATATTAATGACGCTATGTTTTTTGAGTTCTTAAAGTTATTTAATTTTCTTGTCTAGTTTGTCGCGTTTATTTTTTTTCGAATGAAAAAAAAAAAATATTAATGAGACTTCGCCTATGTACAGATCTGAATCTAACAACGATTATATAAAAATTGAAAAACGGACGTATATTCGGGTTGTTAACTGTTATATCCACCAATTTATGTACGATGTTCAATTCAACAATGCTTCTTTTGTTTTTTTTTTATTTTCAGAAGGGTCCTCTGGTGTTTAATAAACTCAGCTGTAACATTACGTATGCTTTGAAGCCTCTAACGGAAATTGGCGGTCATAGCATGAAAGGCATCACTTTTGTAACACCTACACGTGAATATATACGCAAAGATTGTCCCAAAGCGAATTCAAAGTGTTGTAAAAATGAGATTAAACTATTAAAATAATAAATTGAAAAAGATTTTATTATAAATTATTTTTATACCATTGAAATGCAAACTATATGTGTTTTATTTGAACAAATTTTTAAATTCATTAATAGGTTTTTTCTTTACATCAGCGGAACTATCTTTGCTTATCATTGCGAAAAGTTGATTTTGATCCAAAAATGGTTGCTCATGCTCTAACAAAGCAGCCGTTAGACGAGTAGTATATAAAATAGGCCCACCTACTATATGCAAGAAATTGTATTCTTTTTCTTCGCGTCCAGTAAATAGGATACGTTTGGAAACAAAATCCTTATAGTTGCTAACACGACCCACGCATATATAACGTTTCTGATGAGGTGAATAGATTTCGATTTGAGCTCTTAAACTTTCAGACGACGTTAATTGAAAAGCTGGTACATATGTAACGCGAAAGTGTATATTAAAATTCCTGTAAAAATCTACACAAAGATTTAAAATTGAATCCATTTGCTCTTCAGCCTCATAAGCTGTGGATGTAGCCACAAACGTTTGCACAGCATTACTTTGAGTAGCTGTATATAAATTTTGCGCGTCATCTGTTGCCATTGGCAATACTTTCTCATATAAGCGGCCGCAGCAGACCCACTTGAGCGGCAAAAACGAAGGATATACACAGAGTTTTGTGACGGTGCCTAAAAAACTTTCAAAAGACGCCCCACCTGTTAGGAACGCTGTGTTCAATTGATTATTTAAATGTTCTTCCATAACTTTATGATAATAATGCATAGGTGTGGCATTGGCTTCTAGCAAAACGCATCGCACAAAATCGGGATTTGCCGTTTGAGTAAAATGTCCCTTTTGCAAGACATATTGAGTAAACGCTTGCGTACAATAAATATCAAACTCGGCCGCTTCATCCAAGAAATAGTAACGCGTATTATCGATAAATTCCACAAAGGTTGTCTGTATGAGATGGCATTTACCATTTGTCAAAGGTTCTTTATATTGATAAAGTATTCTTTCATGCTCACCTAACGGGCAATGCAAATGCAATTGATTCGGTAAGTCAAGGAACATATGTATAAATTCATCTTCAAACGGATAAAAATTTTCTTTAAGCCTTTTCAAATCATTCCGTAGGGATATTCCTTTTTCTTTTAAGCTATTCATCATGTTTTCATCATTAGTTTCTTGTTTAATTAGTTGTCTAAGTTCTTTAGCAGTGGCGTCTCGTTCTTCTTCCAGTTGTTTTATCTTCTCATTGAACTCTTTATAGTTTGCGTACATTTTCATTATTTTATTTAAATTACTTTTCATTTGCCTATGTCTTATACTACGTTCCAATTCATGTCCTTGTTCAAAAGTGCTTTTAAAATTCATAAATGGTAATAAGGTAGCGTAAGTTTCTTTGGCTTTATCCCCAGTTATATACAAAGCTGAGATAGGTCTCGATTGAAATTTGTATCCAATGGGATGAAAGCGAAACGAAGAATTAATTGGTATTCGTATAATATTATTAATAAATTTTGTACTTCTGCGCATTTTAATAACAATTTTTACAACTTTAATTGATAATGTATAAAAATTTTGATTAATAATTAATCAAAACAAAACAAAAATTGTAACACTTCTTTAAATACTGATAGAATCATCTGATTCGGATTTAATATAGTGTTACCACAGTTGGAAATAAATATGAAGTTTTTTTTTTCATCAGCCATTGAAGTCATTGAAAATTTATTGTTTTCGTCCAATTTGATATCAAAATAGAACATTTAAATATTTCTTAGGCTAAAGTAGTACTTTCACAAAATCGAAAAAGGATGTATGTCAACGAACAGGGATGAGAAGTTTTCATTTTACAAATTTGTGGAAAACGTAAATGGTCTTCACGTAAATTACTTACATTAAACTCTTAACGTCGTACAGTGTGGCAACTATCAATATAATATTTATAATTACGATTCCATATCATTCCCTCATAATAATAACAAAACGAAAATTAATATATTATATTAAGAATAAAAGTTAATCGCAAATCGTCTCTAATTTTTATATATAAATCAATTTAACCCACAGAAAGGAGAGGAAAAATGCCAAAAGATAAAAAACATAAGAAACGCGAACATAACGATCGCCACAAACATAAATCTAAAAAGGATCACAAACGTAAAAAGAAAAATAGATCGAGCTCATCGTCTGCTAGCTCTGAGGAAGCTATCTTAACAAAAAGCATCGCACTGCTTAAAAGATTGGAAGATAGACGTATAAAGGATGGATTAGAAAGGAAACGCATAAAAGAAGAATTGAAAGCAAAAGAAACACCTGAACAGAAGCGTGACCGACGCCTACGCGAAAAAGAAGCTAAGGAGGTTAGAAGACGTCAACGTATGGGCTGGGATAATGAATATCAAAATTATACAGATCAAGATAATCCGTTTGGTGACTCAAATTTAACATCAACTTTTGTATGGAATAAGAAATTGCAAAAAGAAGGTTTAAAAGATGTACCCATGGAAACGGTGGAGGCCATTAACAGGCAAAAACAAATGGAAAATAAATTAGAATTAGAGAAAGTAAAAAAGCGTCGAATAGAACGTGAGATGGAACGGCAAGCCCGCGATGAAGAATTGGTCTTGCAGCAGCGACAAAAAGAAGCTGCCCAGTTCCATGAGTGGGAAAAACAAGAAGATCAATTCCATTTAGAGCAGGCACGACTACGCAGCGAAATACGTATACAAGATGGGCGGGCAAAGCCAATCGATTTATTGGCCCAATATATATCAAGTACGAAGTTGGAGGATTCCAGCGCCATTGAAATGCAAATGCATGAGCCTTATTTTATATTAACAGGGTTAAGTATAAAAGATTTGGACGATTTGTTGGTTGATATACATGTCTACATAGAATTAGAAAAAGGAGAACATATGGACTTTTGGAATGACATGACTATTATTGTAAAAGACGAGCTGCAAAAGAAACGGAAGCAAGCAGAATTTGATGAAGCAGTTGCCTCCCGCCGTGGAGGTATACACGAAAGCGTCGTTAAAGACGTAACCGGCATTTTTCGCAATAAAACCATAGCTCAATTGGATGAACTGCGTTCAAAAATAGAAGACAAAATCAATATGCGAACCGAAGGCGTGGATATAAGTTATTGGGAAAATATATTATCCCAACTGAAAGCTCATATGGCACGAGCACGATTAAGGGATTATCATCAAAGGAAATTAAGGGAAAAATTGGATTTACTGAAAACATCTAATCCTAAAGAGGAAGAATATAACCACTCACCGCAAGAACCCAACGAACAGCCCGATAAAGAGGATCATGTAGAAGAGAAAGCTGATATACCTGAGGATATCCATCAAAGAGATTCCTTTAAGTTGTATGATGAGGGACAATATAGCCCGAAGTATATTACTTCACCAACTATGCTATCAAATATAATTAATATTATCAATGAAGACGAGGATGAGGAAAATTTATCGAATCTACGCCAAGAATTATTGGAAAGAAATCAAGAAAATACTTTATATTCTCAGGAAGAATTGCAAATGCGCTTGGAAGCTAAACGTGGTATGTCAGGTGATGAAGTCGAATTCTCAGTGGAAATGCCAGTCGACAATAGTGCTGCCATTCAACTGGCTACTGATAAATATCGACCTCGAAAGCCACGTTATTTTAATCGTGTACATACCGGTTTTGAGTGGAATAAGTACAATCAAACCCATTACGACATGGACAACCCACCGCCTAAAATTGTCCAAGGTTATAAATTCAATATCTTCTATCCTGACTTAATTGACAAATCAAAGACACCCCAGTATTACTTAACTCAGTGTGAGGATAATTCAGATTTTGCCATATTACGCTTTCATGCTGGTCCGCCTTATGAAGATATTGCATTCAAAATTGTGCATCGTGAATGGGAATTCAGTTACAAGCGCGGTTTCCGTTGTCAATTCCATAATAATATCTTTCAGTTATGGTTCCATTTTAAGAGATATCGTTATCGCAGATAAAGTCTTAATAAAATTGAAACCTTTTTGGCTTTTCTCAAGTACACATTTCATTTTGCTTTGTTCAGTTACACTTTATTGCACAAAAAACTTGATTCAAAGCTTTTAATATCTAATTATAAAAAAAAAACGCATTAAATGTTGTAAAATAAAAAAAAAATTTTTGTTTTTTGGTATCTGTTAAGGCACAACAGGTGAACAATTTAATTATTTATATACTTATAATGTAATACCATCGGTTGAGGTTGATTAAGCGTATCTGATCGTTTTGTGGTAACTCATTTAATTTCTTGCAAGATTTGCGCAAAGGATGCTGGCGCTTTAAAGTTTACCGCCTCTTTAAAAATTAATTCCTTCCATTTCTCGACCGATAAATCCATGTCCTCGAAACTTTGATCGTATAAAGGTGAAGTCTGCTCATCACTCGGTTCAGAATATTTTTCCATATAGGGATGTGCTAACGCTTGTTCGGCCGTAATACGTTTCTCTGCATCTAATTCTAACATTTTTTCTAACAAATCAATTGCAAGTGGATTAGCACCTTTAAAGAGATCCTTAAAATTACGTCTCTTCATTGAAGGCAAAGATTTGATATAATTTCGTGCACTTTCCGAAGAGATTTTTTTCAAAAATTCATCAGATGGTGTCCCCAAAATTTCCATAATTAAATTAAGTTGATGTATATGATCGGTGCCGGGAAATAATGTACGTCCGGTAAGTAACTCCGCCATAATGCATCCAACAGACCATATGTCCACCGTCTGATTATAATGCATCCAATTAAGCATAATTTCGGGTGCCCGATACCAACGTGTAGCGACATAACCGGTCATTTCATTTTCCGTTGGCCGAGCTAAACCAAAATCCAAAATTCTTAATTCACAATCTTCATTTACCGCGATATTTGATGGCTTCAAATCGCGATGTATAATTCCCGCACTATGTATATATTTAAGCCCACGCAAAATTTGATATATCAAAAACTGTACATGATCGTCCGATAAACGCTGCGTGCGTATAATATTATTGAGATCCGCGTCCATGAGATGAGTAACCAAGTAAACTTGTTGAAAATTTTCCAAAGTCACATTAAGCGGATGAAACACATCCAATAAACCAATTACATTCTCATGATCCATATGCTTAAGGAGACGCAATTCACGATAAGTACGTTTTGCATGAACAGCCGATTGGAATGGACGCGCCAACTTCTTAATGGCTACATGCATGTTTGTTCCCTTTACCAGAGCCTTGCATACTTGTCCATAAGCTCCCGAGCCCACCGGCTGTAAATCCTGATATATTTCGGGTACTTCCCATTCTGTACGGAATATATCCACTTTGTAAAATTTATACATTATTGTTGTTGTTTTTGTCGTTGCATTCACTTCTTTTACTATATAATCTAAAATTCGTTGATTGTTCGTTGCTTCGTTCTCTAAGGAATCTAATTGTGCGATTTTTAATTGACGTATTTTAATTGATAGTATATATAAAAATACGGATCGGCCTCACACGTTGGCAGACTATTTAGAATAGTTGTAAAAACAAAAGATATCTACACATACATGTTACATACATGAACATAAAGATATTTATGTAAATCTCACTCAACACTCACACTAGAATAAAGACTTCGTATGCCATACATTCTATACCATATCCAATCAGTAAGCAATTAAAACATTTTTCCGGCTATTTGATAAGAATACACGTCTTTACGAAATTTGTAGATAATACTTTTACTTTTATTGCAATATATGAAAGTTAAGAATGGAATAGAAAAAAAAGAAAAATTTACAAGAACTTTAGCTTCCTAATGTCCCATCAAACTGAATCAGAACTACCACAACTACTTGTAAAAGAGAAAAAATATATTGACTAAATTACATTTCACTTTGACAACCTAAATATAGGGTTTCCAAACCCTAATCCAGAGCGTGTCAAAAAGATTTGATAAATAAAAAAATTTTAAAATACTTTTCACTTTTTCTAAAAATTACTTTTCAATCTTAACTCCAAAGTTTGTTATGGATCATGATTTAGGGAGCTTTATAAAAAAGTTCTTCATGAATACTTGAAATTAGCGGAAACGCAACTTGATAAAAAGAAATATTAATCTTTGATAGACGGGTACGGATAACAAAATATTAATCCAGATAACCTATTAGGTTTAAAAATCTGAATAAGATATTGATTTGGAGGCAATACAATCGAATTTTCAACTGTAGCGACTTTTACACAGCAACGTTTCTAATTTCTACATTATTAAATTTAAAAAGATATAAGTTATATACATAATAAGTTATATAAATTTGTATTTTTCTAAAATCAGAGTTAAAATTAGAACCATAACCATTATTGATCTGTATTATTATTTAATCCGCTAAAAAAGAAGACCCAAGAAGATCTCAATTTCATATGCTATCAAATTTCATAGATAACATATATGAAGGCATTCAAATTTTCCGCTGAAATTAAGCAGATATTTTCGTTTTTCTTCCATCTCTGTAATGCAACTCTGCTTTGCAGAAAGAGAAGAGCAAAACGAAGTCAACAGCTGAGAAATCATTTGTTTCATTGTAAACTTTTACAGCTTGATTAAGTCATCTTATCGAATATATATAAAAGTTTATAAATTAAAGTAGATAATTGTAAATTTTTATTTAATTTGATTGCTTTTATTGTTGATGAAAAACTTGCTCTAAACATTTAAAAATTCCTAAATCCATTATATATTCATTTCATTTATAACACAATTAAAAGCCGCCGCCCGTGCCGCTTTTCACAATTGCTTGAAATGTAAACATCTCATGCAAAAAATCAGAAGTTATTTCATTATTGTAAACATTTTAAAAGAATTTTTTTTTTTTATGGTTTTGTTTAAACAATAAAAATTGAATGTTATCTTGAATTGATATTAGTAACTACTTCGGACTATCAAATTAAATAGAATACGGTATACAAAACGAATACATTAAATTGAAAAAGGAAAGGCAGCACCTTGGTAAACTTGAAAATTATTTTATTTAATTTTGTTAATCAGTTTTGATTCAGATATCGCCACAGACGGAACGCAATAGAAACGTCATTACAATAATATTGTATTGTAAATATTGTAACAAATATTGTTTATTATAATTTAAACGAATAAATTGCATAGCAAGTGAGTTTTTTGCATATTTTAATACATTACAAGACTAAGGAGCAACGAATAGTTTATTATTTAATCAATTACTTTACAGTCTACCTCTGCTCATTTTTTTTTTTTTTTTGTTTTTTGTTGCTCTTTTGACAAATTGAACATTAGACCTTTAACCAAAGCACTTGTCTTAAAAAGAAAAAAAGTAAGAGTTTTTTTAAATATACTATTAAACGCTCTTTTAAAAGAAAAATTATGAAAGGAGTGGAGTATATAATTTCATAATATGTGTGTACATCGTTTTTCCTACCCCTATTCGATTTTTGATTTGATTAAGCAAAAAAAAAAAAAAAAAATTCATTATTTGAACGATTATTAATTCAGAAAAATAAGCAAACTTCATGTTTTCGATTTTGAATTACTCCCTAAGAAATTAGTCTATGTTTCATAATTTTTATTAGATTTTATCTTATCCATTCTTAAAATTAATTAACAGATTTCGGTTTTTTCACTAGTCACCCTTCGCGGATCGCAAAAGACAAAGGATTTAACGAGCTTTCCAATTTGAGCTTCAGTTCATATGGTTATTCTTTCTTTCTTTGAGCCAGTTTAAAAGTTCACTCGTTCTATACTATTTGCAAAGAAGCCTAAAGAACAAATCGAAATCTGTCAACACAAAGCCTAACGAGCTGTCATTATATCTGTATAAAAATTCAGTTGAAGGGTTTAAAAGTTGAGGTACATATTTATGGTTTAATTGTTAAGATATTTCAGAATTTTTCTTTTTGCCTCTTACAAGTGCATTTATAATTTTTACCAATTGTCGTTATGATATCACTCTGATATTTGAATATTCAAAAACCCTTTTTAAGACTGATTTCTCGCAGCGCTTTTTCTTCTTCGTTTGTTTTATACACTTTTGCGACTTGGGATTTTTTAACAATTTGTTTTCCAATATTTTCTTTATGATTTATTCCAGATTTAGATATTATGGCTACTTTACTTCCGGGTAATATAGTTTACGGTGGTCCCATAACCACTCGCGAGACAAATGACTACAAATCTTTGGGACATTTCATAATGGAAAAGTACAAGGAATTTGATGATCGAATTGTTATGGTAGCGTAATCCCTCCCGCTAAAAATATATATAACACTAAGATTTCTCTTTTGTTTTTTTTTTTTTTTTTTTGGTGAACTTTTACAGGTCGATGCGGTCAGCGGTAAAGAGTACACCGCGAAATATATGCACGACTCGGCTATAAGAGTGGCTTATATTCTAAAGAGTTTAGGAATAAAAGCTAATGATGTGGTAGGTTTATCTAGTGAAAATTGCTTTGAATTTGCTATAACCTTATTTGGCGCTTTTGCTATAAATGCTACAGTGGCTCCTTTCAATATTACTTATTCAGAACGTAGGTATTATTATTATTATTATTATTGTTATCTTATTGAATATAAAAAATATTCGCTTGTGTTATTTAAAAGGTGAAATGCATCATGGCATCAATTTGTCGAAACCTAAAGTGATTTTTTGTTCAAAAATAACTGCTGAACGTATAGCTAACGTAGCCAAAAACAACGCATTTGTTAAAAAAATTATCTCATTTCATAGTCAAAAGTCAACATCTGATATTCTCTCTTTTAACGAATTAATGGATAGCATCAGTATTCCATCAAACAATACGTTTGAATATGAACCGGTGAATAAGAATGAAGATGTAACCTTAATTGTATGCTCTTCCGGAACAACAGGCTTGCCAAAAGGTGTACAAATAACGCAATCAAATGTGTTAAGCACTTTGGATTCTCAATTGTAACTATGAAATTATTATTTTTTTTTTTTTGTCATTGAAACTTGATTTTTATGCAATTTAGAGCACCTACGGTTATCCCTATCGGTGATGTTAAAATGCTAACAGTTATACCGTGGTTTCATTCCTTTGGCTGTTTAACTTTGATATTTTGCGCTTGTGCTGGTACTTGCTTAGTGTATTTGCCGAAATTCGAGGATCATTTGTTTTTAAGTGCTATCGAAAAATACCAGGTTATGATGGCGTTCATAGTTCCACCTCTAGCTGTATTTTTAGCTAAACATCCTATTGTTGATAAATACGATCTATCTTCTCTATTGGTGTTATTGTGTGGGGCGGCACCCCTTAGCAAAGAAACGGAAGATCAAATTAAAGAAAGGTGCGAAACTTAATTTTATTATTATTTGATATTCATGTTATAATTTACTTTTTACTTTTCGTACCACAGAATTGGAGTACCAATTATACGTCAAGGCTACGGTCTCAGTGAGACTACATTAAGTGTGCTGGTTCAAAATGATAATGCCTGTAAACCGGGCAGCGTGGGTGCCTTAAAAATAGGAGTATATGCTAAAATTATCGATCCGGACACTGGCAGAATTTTGGGCCCAAATCAACGTGGTGAATTATGCTTTAAAGGTGATTGCATAATGAAAGGTTATATAGGAGATGTAAAATCAACTCAAAGCTCCATCATTGATGGTTGGTTGCATACCGGCGATATTGGTTATTATGATGAGGATTTTGAATTCTTTATTGTCGATCGAATTAAGGAACTTATTAAGTACAAAGGTTTTCAAGTGCCTCCAGCTGAAATTGAAGCAATACTTTTAACTAATCCTAAAGTCAAAGATGCTGCCGTCATAGGCAAACCAGATGAAGAAGCTGGGGAATTACCAATGGCATTTATCGTTAGTCAACCTAATGCTCAACTTAATGAACAAGAGATTATTGATTTTGTGGCACAACGGGCATCACCAGCAAAACGGCTACGTGGTGGTGTAATGTTTATCGATGAAATACCCAAAAATCCTAGTGGCAAAATTTTACGACGGCTTTTACGTGATTCGTTGAAAAACAAACTTAAATCGAAAATATAGCTTTCCCAAGCGACGGTACACCAAAATTGTGACGAAAGGCAGCACAATAATAAGCGTTTTAACAATTTCTTTCCAAAAATTTGAGGTAAAAACGTTAAATTAATTCTCTAATTTATATTTAAAAAAAAAAAAAAAATAGTGTTTAATAGAGTGGTCTTATCTTTATGTACAAACATGTAAACCAAAAATATAAATGGGCTTATCTTAAAACTTTCTTCCTGGAAGATGCAAAGTGTCCTTGGTGAACGCATTCGTGGCAGTAGCACTTTTGCTTCTGTCTATTTGCTCATTATCTATGTATATGGGGAACTTTATGCTATACTTCTGCACTTGTATGTCACTCACTTAAACATGAAAAAATTTTACATAACTGTAAAGTAAAAATTTTCGACATTCTTCAGCTATCTAGCTTTTAACAGGACATTATAAATTTACATTACAAAAATTAATATAGAAATATAGCACTTTTTCCTCCATGTTCATTGAAATTGCAAGGTACGATGCCAAAAATGCGTTATTATATAATTAATTATCTTAATTCATTACGCTGGCTAAGACATTAGTTGCACATTACAGTAATAGTTGTTACGACTTTTTAACATATTGCATTGTTCTAATACAAATATGAAATTTTTTAAATTACTGGCCAAGAATGATCACAATCGAGTATAGATATTATTTAGGTAAATGCATTTTAATATATTTCACATAAAGAAATAAAATGTGGGACTAGCAACTAAGAATTTCGGATCGGTTTTTTAAAAAGAAAATTTAAACATCTGATCGATTGATTTAAAAATACATGTTAGAAAATGGGTTTCCTAAGAAAGTGAAATAATTTTGATTAAAGCTGAAGCGTGGGTTATTGCACAAACTTAACACATTACATCACATCGACATAAGCGATTTTGTTTAAAGCTGCAGTTTTTATAGATAAACAAATTAATTTGAAAAAATTTTACTGTGCAGTTCTTTCCTTTCTTCCTTTTCAAGACAACTAACGATCTCCATTTGTGTTTTCTTCAATCATTTTACTCCTGTAATGTTAGTCAGCAATAAAAAAAAAATATATTTGCAATAATTGCAAAATTTAGAAAAACATATTCTGGCAATCTGTCTTCAGACTCTGCAGTAAGAATTTGAATTAGTTAACAAATATTTTTAAAAGTAATTATGTAACGATTTGTCAAAGTGAGCAAACGACTACATTCGGTGGCTTCATCTATTTATATTGTTTTTTATAAATTATTCAGCAGGCGCATGACATTTAACCTTCATACATTTTATAATTATTCCTTGCTGGTCAGTAGTTTACAAATTAAATTCAGTAGGTTATCTAACGGATCTATTAAATGTGAATTTAGAACTGATCTTGAGAAATTTATGGTGTCCTTAATAGTACATCGCATTCAATAAACCTGGTAGGTGAATAAAATAATGGCAAAATCGTTCTTTGCGAATTTCCTAACGAGTAGGATTGGTCAAATTAATTTCTTCCCTTCCTTCCCTTCCTTTCATAATGTTCAAAGATCACTTTAATCCTCGAAAGTCTGCGAGAACCCACATTTCTTGAAAATAAATATTGATGGCGCTCATAGACATTCGCTTCTCGTATTGGGGCTTCATTTGATCGGCGTGGGAAATATATATACACTAATAATGCAAAAGTCGTAATTATGGGCTTAAACGGAAATACATTTGGTATTGTGTTTGGAAATAGTTTCGGATATATAGGTCTCTATCATAATAAAATGGAATTTGCCTTCCGCGCCAATAAAATTTTGGTTGATATCAATACCATGTAATAAGATGATATATTTAAGTGTAAACATATTTTAACGCATGCTAAAGCCGGTTATCCAAACCACAAACTAAAATTACAAACTTTGATCAATAAGACAACATGGAAGGCGGGGAGCAGTTCCCGTTTCTGACAAGGATGAATACATCTGTGCTGGAAGTGTTCGATATTGCATACATTGGAAACTTGGTAAATATTGTTAGTAAGTTATAGTCTTGTAGTAAATTTAATATATAAAAGTTCGCTGAAAAAATGCATCCTATTGAAGTGCCCATATAATAAACAAAGCAAAAAATTCGTAATAGTTGAAGAATACTTCTCTTATGTTTCACAAGAACTGGTGAACATCATTAGGCCCGAAAGACATATATTTTGCATATGAGAATTTAAAGACACAATGTTACAAGTTTGCCACCGATGTTTATCACTACACAATTGCGTAGACACATAGATGGATAGCCAAGCAGATGGACATATTTAGGTGCATTGCAATTTTGAAATTAGCCAAGAATTTATACACTTTATGGGGCGTTTGAACCTAAGGGTATTTAAAGAAAAATTGAGTTCGATGCAATATAATGTCAGGTAGGCGCTACAGCATTTTTATATAGATGCTTCAGCATCGCCCACAGAGTGTCAGTTCGAATTTTTATACATTTATCTGCCATAGTTTACGAGTAATGAGCAAAAACCAATTTTTTATTCTTTTGAACAACAAATGTGTTCTCAGTTTGCATGGCATTTTGGGTGTGTCCTTCGACCAGTTTGGCCCAAGCGTTTCTGCTAAGTTTGAAGTCAGTGGTTTAATTTTTGCGACCAGGAGGATGTTGACAACAGGCATTACATGGACGGACAAACGGATATACTTAAACCGATTTGGAATTTGCTGTTGTGTAAGAATATCTATAGTTTACGGGGTCTCTGATGCTTCCTCCTGACCGTTGCAAATGTTTTGACAAAATCAGTATACCCCGCATTCTTTGGTGATGGGACTAAAAAAAAGGAAGAAATATTTCAAAACATTTTCGCCGCCGATTTCAAAACTTTAGATATGCGTTTGTCACGCAATAACATTTTATTATATTTTTCATTTAACATTTTACACAACATGGCTCACTTTCAATCTACTTTTTTTTAATCGGTTTTGATTTGTAGTCGTCAGTATTCTCAGGTTTTTACTTTGGAGGATGTCTTGTCTGGACTTTCTAAGGCCTATGTAATCATTTTACTTGTCACGTCACGGTAGAAAATGTATATCAAGCTCCGCTTGATCAACTAATTGGCATAAGCTTTTGTGTCTGTAATATTTTTGCTTGATGTATAGGATGAGAAGTAACCAAGATTCGCCTCAAATGCAATTCTAATTTCCTTACTTATTCGCCTCTCAGTTTAAATTTATTGTTAATCGTCGTTTAAATTGTTATTGACTTAACGGTTTTGTGTTTTTGAAAATCTCATATAGTTATTTAATATTAAATAGTTTTTTCTCTTATAGTTTTTTTTTTTTTTTTTTCTTTATTTTTAAAATTCTTTTTTAACTAATTTCGTAATAATACAACAAATTTGTTTTTCTAATAAATTGTTTTTGTTTTTCTTTTGACTAAAATGAACATTTCTTTTAATTTGTTATTAATTCATTAAATATTTTGTATTTTAATTGTTTTGCTAAGATATATATATATATATATATATGTATATGGGTGTGTGTGTAAATATTGAGATGTACGTAAATGTAAATGGCTGAAGTTTATAACGTGAGTCCTATGTGTGTATGTATGTATATGAAAATGATTGTTCTTTTATAAATAGACATATTTCTGTTATGTTTTCTTTTGTGGCTTTGTTTTTTTTTTCCAGTTAAGTACAACAATTTTCAGATAATTTGTGTATTTAATTTTTTTTGCATTTTCGTATTGTTCCATTAATTATTGTAAAAATTTGACATTGTTCTCTTTTATTTCTTTCACTCTTACTATACCCAACACCGAAGGATTAAATTTTACGCCAGATTTATTAGTTCGAAATATGTGTTATGTATCTTATATAGAAGCATAAGATGTTGAGTCGATATTGTCATGTCCCTTGTGTCTGTCTGCCCGTCTGTATGATTGTTATTTAACTTTCGCGATAGTTAAAGATAAAACTTGCGAAAAACTTTCATGCATTATCTATTATGTATTAGTAATGCCAGAGATCGTGTTATAAATCGATCATGATATCTTCATTGTCTTTAAAAATTCGATCATTTATAACTTATAGTAGATGTCAGCACAAACGGAATGAATAAAGGTCGCTTGAGGTGGTGGGTGGGTATCGGAAATTCGCCACAAGGCGAATATATTATTTGTATTACTTTGATACGTTTATAGAACGAGAACAATTTTTGAGTAATTTTATTTGATTGATAAGTTTTCAATTGAAACCGTTCTCAATTAAAAAAAAAAACGAAAAATTTATTTCTCAGATAAATAATAGAAAATAATAGAGAACAAAATTAAATGCATTTTAACCGTTGGTTCCCCCTCTCTCTCTCTCTCTTTCTGTCTTCTCATATTTTTGACGTACATTGTAATTTAGTTAAAAAATGAATAACTAATTAAAATTACAATTTAGAAAGTTGCCTTCTTTTCTATTTTATAAAAAAAAAAAAAAAAAAAAAAAAAAAAAAAAAAATAGGCTTTTGATTGTCTTCAATCCAAATTTTATTCGCTGTCGCTCTTTGGCACAATCATCAGCGTTAATATTAGATGTCTTTTCCTTTTTCTTGAAACAATATGCTTCGAAAATGTTTTCTATAAAAAGAGAAAAACTGAATCACTATGATTGTCGGTTTTTTTTTTTTTTGTTCTTTTTTTTTGTTTTTTCTTAAATTTTTTATTGGAAATTTTTTAATCTGCCACCGCGTCAAGCTCGTAGGCATTCAAAAAGGTTAACGATGTCCAACGATAAGTTTTTGTTGCGGATCATACAATTATCTCCATTCGATTAGCTTTTCTAGTTACTTTCGGTGGTCCTTGTGCTAACTCAGACATGCCGCCGTATTTGAAATTAAATATTACAGTTTGTTGACCGAAGTTCGCCTCAAATCTGTGATGTATACATATATATATATATATATATATAATGGAAAATTCAATATGTATTCATAAAGGCCTTGAAATTATAAAATTTTATCATACGGGCATCCCTTTTTCCGCACTTCGCTGTATCATTTATTCTTCTCTTCGTGTTGGCTATTGATGGGGTCGGTCCAACAACGTTCGCAAATCTCTCGAATTTTTGCTTTTTTTTCCCCAATTTTCACGATAATATGATGTGAATCATAGTTCGAAAAGAATTCAATTTTTTAAAAACGACATGCGGATAAGGGCGTCCTTAATGAAAATTCCTATAATACTTACTCAGTGCTTATATGTATTTCAGGAGGTTTCCCAGTTGCATTTTGTACCACTAAAAACATTTTGGTAACAATTTCAATCACATGAGCTGTTTCAAAAACGAAATCACCCTTCTTTCGACCAAACTCAGACTAAAAAGCAAAAGTAATAATTCGTATAAAATCTTATTTTTTATATAAGTAAAAGTTTTTTTTTTTTATACCGCTTTAACATGAAACACGGCAATATCATCCAGGTAAGGACTTAGAGACATTCGATAAATTTCTGCCGCAGGCACACGATATTTTATTTGCAAAGTTCTCTGATCTAATAGCAAGAGAGACGAAGTCGATAACACCAAAAGAACAGGTGCAATCTAAATGAATATGAATTATAATGAAATTATTAAAGTTCTTGTTTTGTAAAAATATTTTAATATTTTACCTTCCCACTAGATCTAGTAATTTTATTAATAATATCGGCAAATACCACGTATTGATCATTAGTATCCACGCACATTTTCTTCCATTGTTGATTATGCCGCAAGCGCACGTAATCACCGATAAATGGATGGGATACGCTAAAAATATATTAATAGATATGTATAGATATATATATATATATATATATATGTATATGTATAGAAGTGGTGGATTTTCTTCTTTTTATACATGCAATCCGAGATTGAATTCTCATTTTCTTGATAGAATCTTTAATAATTTCTTATAAAAAATCTTTTATACCTTACATCATTTGCGTTACAGAGTAACTTACGTTTGCGTAGACGTACGTAACAACCAGAAGGGCTTGAAATAGACTTAACTTTTATTGTATTGTATTATCTAAGCTTGTCTGACCTCCTCTTCGTCTGATGCCTGCCCACGTTTTTTTGTGTTCAATCTGCATGTGTTTTTTTTTGTTCAATCTGCATGTGGCACTTTTTGAAAAATTTCATTGAAATTTGGTGTATTGACATGCTTTGACTCAAGAACGAATACTAATGCAAATGATTCGGATCGTTCGTTAACGTATTTTGTAACCAATGCTTCATGCTATCCGCTAAGTTACACTCAATGTATTGTCTACACTCATCCTTATACTTTCACATATAATAAGACATATGAAAACGATACTCTTATGCATTTCAAATTCATTAAAATCCATTTTACCTTCTAACATACGACGCCTTACGATCTTTGAAGATGATACTGGCTGTAACTTTTTCACGCATGCGATTTCTTGATGTTTGATCAAATGAATTGCGATAAATAAAACATTTCCAGCGATGGTAAATAGCTCGTAGTAAGCGTGAGGTTTCGCTAAGAAATTTCGGTGCTGTCGGCCAGTCCATCGACAAAGGACTTAACGTATTAGGTGGTAATCGTAGCGGTATTGTTAAGAGATATTGTCTTATTTTCCATAAATGATAATTACGCGATATAACATCTACAGCCCATTGAACTTGACGTTTATATTTCATACTGCGATATTCTTCGCGTGCCTGTTAAGCAAACAATTTACTATTAGATGATATTAATTCTCAATAGGTAAAAAAAATATGTGATTAATGGTAACTAATTCTATCTCACTGGAGATAACTTAAAGCAAACTTTTATGAAATAAATTTGAGAAAATGGCACTTATTATTAATATGAAAGAAATTTCGCATGAGATGAAAGAAAGAACAAAGGTAAAAAACAGATGGAAAGAAAAGATGTTTACAGTTTAACAAGGTGAAGGCAGCATAAGCTGCCTCGAGTTCTACGAACCTCTGTTCATCATATTAAATGGAATGCTTAAGTGAATCTATTTTTCAAAATAGTTTATGCATTTATGTAATTTCCTCAATCAATTAATCATTATGAAGAAATTACAAAGAAATATTTCACGAAAATATAAATCTAAATTAAAATTATTACTGGAGGAGAATTGATAGAATGTCTTTTTCGTTTTGTATAACCTCGGCTATTAGTGAGCTGATATTGCAATTTCAAAATTAACTATTTCCCCATAAATACTGTTGACCAAGCGATGACTATATCTTTTCATAATTCCCAGAATCTTTTATCCCTTAATGGAAAGTTTGCTGTAAATTATTGTCCACCGATAAGATTTTCAAGAATATCAGAGATGCTTACTACGCGATAAAGACTCCACATGTGTTTGCGTCCAGTAAATGGAATGCCATACCGACACTCCTTAATTTAATGAAATCAAAAGACATGCATTAAAATGTAACAAAATAGTAATAACAGAAACGAAAACATGCAAAATGTAAATGAGTTTATATGCTCAATACTTACTCGCCACGTGCGCCAAGCACTAGATATCACAATTTGACTGTTGCGTTTGCACAAATATAATTTCCTTAATCGATACATACGAAATGTTTTTTGTATCAGTATCGCCAGATCATTGATGCGACCCTTACGAAACTGTTCCAATTCGTAAACGGTACGTGGACTACGCACGAACACGTTTTTTGTGCCAATTGTAAATTCAGCAGACGGCAGGGGTAAACTACGTATAATGATGGCAATGCCTTCTACAATAGTGCCACCGTGATAATGAGGCCATGTTATATTACTCAAAAGTTTATAGCGTACAAAAAATTTTGCATGAGGCATGTGAAAACAATGGCCGGTGCGACACAAATGCACCAAAGGCATTAAAGACATATAACGCACTTGATGTTGCACCAAAGCCATATCAAAAATTCGCGATTGACGGCACTCGTTCGGTTTAATGCAAAAGACATAGTGCGAACGACGAGGTTTAACGATGGCGAGTAACGTTTGCAATTGCGTGCGTATATTGGAACTTAATGTGGTGGGCTTTTTAGATGCCTGACGGCGTGGATTACCCTCCGGAAAAAGGCTTTGTACTAATGGCAGATTGCTTTGATACAAGGCTGAACTTATATACTTAGGTAATACATCGGAATTCTTCTCCAAAAAATATTGCACCGAATAGTTGACCACGTTGGCAAAATGTCGTATACGAAATGCCATGCTATTCGGTCCGCAAATCATAAAATTTGGATGACCGGCACAACATTGCTGTATGCGTTGCAATAGCGTATCATTTGTGGTTAGGTGGGGTTCGTTGATAAGGCTCAATATCCCGTAACTTGGTTTATCGATCAACTCGCATATCGATTCATTATCAAAATAATCAATGCGGGTCCATTCTAAACCTTCACGGGCATAAAGTTCTTGTTCTATACGCAGTACATTGTGCACAAAATGCTGATGAATTTTTTCAGCGCCATAATTTATAGCAAACTGTTCAAATGAATTGCATTCCAGCGATTCGAAACCGTAAAAATCTAATAAAGCTAAATTCTTTTCACGTTGCATTGATTTGAGACTATCGTTGATTTTGTTAACTAACCAAGTAAACAAACGGGCATACAAAGTACGGCATAAAGTAATGCGGGCTATTGAAGCCTGACGCGCGTCCATATCACAACCTATGAACAGTAAATACAGTTAAAATTGGTTTTTTGTTGCTTTGAACTTAGCGTTTTAAGCTTACTTACCCACATCTTCCTGTGTACTATTTGAGCTAGTAGCTCTTGTAAGACAATTAATTAAGATTTGAGCTTCTAAATTAAGTAGATGAGCCGTCTCTTGTACTTCTAAATTCAGCAAACGAAAAAGAAAAAAAAAATCATGACTTATTTAAAACAATCATTAAAATAATTATAATAAAGGATATTTACCATAAATATTTGATATCTGGCAGCCTTCTGTGCCATCAATATTTGTAACAGGTACAAACACAAAATTACCCAACTTTAAAACCACCGCTATTACGCGAAATATAGCATTGATTTCATCGCATGACATGCCCAAAACATCTAATGATTTCTGAAAAAGGGAACAACATTCTTTTTGACTTTCGAAAAAACAGAAAAAAATAATGAAAATCTTTTATACTTTTGTATAATGGAAATTGGTCCGATCTTCTTCCATGGCAGTGGTATTTTTTAAAATTTCATATTTTTCCAAATTACGATAAAGCTTCAAGGATTCTGTAAGGCGAACAAATAACGATTTTTTTTTTGTTTTTCATATATTTTAATGAAAGTATTTAAACCTACTTAATAGCGCCAGATCTCCGCCAAGCAATAATTGATAAAATATATGAAAATTTCTTTCGCCAATGGCGGTATTTGTTACGCGCGTCTGAAATATCCATTGAAAAAGTATTAAATTACTACTCGTTTTTAAAATGCAAGAATTAATGATGTTCTATGAAAAACAAACCTTCTCCAACATATCTTTTTTGTTACAGATAAAGACATGTAATGTAAATTTATAGAAAATTTTAGAAAAATAATTTAATGAGAAACAAAGAAAAAACTTACAATGCGTCATATGAACACCTATAGGATCACCTTTAAAATCGACCTCAATATCAAATAATTTTCCCTGAAATTAAAAAAATAAATAAGTAAATAAAAAACACTTAAAGTAGATCTTCATTAATCAAACATATTACATTATTTATGTGGAAGACATCTAATCAAAAAACTTGCAAACTTGTTTGTTTTGGTCTGCTAATTTCTAAATCAATTATTTGACTTACATAGCGACTAGAATTGTTATTTTTCAAAGTAGACGCATTTCCCATGGCTTCTAAGAATACATCAGCATATAGAACACAATCTCTTAATCGTTTTAAGGGGTCTTTATGTCTACGTGCTAAGGGTTGCGAGTGTTGTTGCTCTTGTTGTGCTGCAGTCATTGCTTGATTTAATTTGTGAGCATCGTACAATGAGATGCGTTGTGTTGAACCCATTAAAGATGAACGCTCATCGCGACTACCATAACTTTCGGTGGAATGCTGGCGAGTCAAATTTGAACAACTACCACGTTGTATGTGAGTCGATGAGCAAGCAGATAAACTGCGTCCAGGATTTAATTGCGGGTATAATGTCCTAAGGAAACCTAGCTTACGTTCTCGATCCTCTTTTTCAAGACTTTGAGCTCGCGTACATTTACTATGACCACACTGACGGCACCCTGAACTATTAACGCCAAATTTTGATGATGGTGAAGTAGCTGAAAATGATGTAGAACAGGTCGTTCTTGATGGCGTGGCAGTGCTGCAAGTGACTTGAGTGGCTTGATGATGTTTAAAACACGATTTAGATGGAGCTCCGGCGCTACCTGAAATAGTTGTAGCTATAGGTATATGACTACGATGTACAGCGGCCGTTGTTGTGTATAATGTTGCATCGTGAATTTGAAAATTTTCAGTGCTTTTATGATGCGAAAAATCGAAATCAACCATTTTTTCGCGAATATTACGTTTTCCGTGACGTTCAGAACTTTCGGCACGTACACGTTGTTGCACAACCATATCACAACGTCTCGCTGTGGGAGAAGGTGACTGGCGCCTTTGGCTTCCAGACGCTAAGCATGAGCTAGCACTTGCGGTAGAAGTGGTATTCTTACAAAGCATATAGTTCGTAGTAGAACCAATAGAACAACTGCTGGAATTGCGTCGATGTCTATACATTGTTGACGAAGAGCTACTTTGTACTCCGCCAGTGCTGGAGCTTGTGGATGATTGTTTTTTAAGAGCGCCACAATGTGATTTATCTTGTATTTGTGTAAGAAAATTGACAATCATTTTAAAAGATTCAGTTTTACCTGAACCCCCTTCACCTGAAATTAGAAAAAACTTTCGACTTGTACTGGATGTAAAACCAAAAACATATTGCAATACCTGTTAATAAAATGCATTGATCCTCGCTCTGATCTTTAAGGGATTGAAAGGCTAAGTTGGCAAGACCATAACTACAATTTTAATAATTATGGATGTAAATAAACCCCGTTAAATATTTCCGTAACTAATTTTATAACTTACATATGTGGAGGCAATTGAAAGATACCTTTACTGCCATAGCTGCGTATAACTTCTGAAGATTGTTCTGATATGTGATGATAGGGATTGATAGCTACCACAGATGTGCCAATGTACGTCTATTAAAATGAATTTATATATATATATATATATGTTCGTTATAAATACATAACAATTAATTTACATATATATGATCGCGTTTATAACGCTGATGAATATTATTAATAAAATTATCCTCTGAAAGATTTTCTAGCAAAACTGAATCCCAAGTACCGATTTCTTGTTCCATTTTGGTGTTCAACGACCACAAGGCAAGTGTGTTGTTTGGTATTTAATTTCTAATAAACCAACAAAAATTCAACTGAAAAAAAATTACATTAAAACCCCTGTGAGTGAAAGCATCCATTCTCAATGAAAAAAGGAGTAAATTTTAGCAGTCAATGATAATCTTCTAAAGAATCTTTAAGGGCTTTAATTTTTTTTTGTTTGGAAGAATATCGATTTTATGTTTTACGAGGACAAGAAACAACGCAACCGATAGCAATTTTAATATTTTATTTTTAAAAATTATTCACGTTTTTCACATTATCAATTCAAAAACGTTTAAATCCTAAGTTTATTCTAAATGCGGTTTATGTTTTAGATGTTGACTTTTTCTTTTTTTAAATCCACGCTTAGTTTTTTCACAGGTCAATAATTGCATCAAAAGAAAAAAATGTGAAATGTTTTGCATAATATTTGCAAAATGCAAACTTTATAATGCTTTAAACACAATATTTATTTTTTCACCACGTAACGTAAAGATCGCGGACACCTTTTATAAGATTTATCAACTTTTTAATACAAAAAATTAATAGAAAAACAAACTTAACAAACAATACAAAAAACATATAATATATCTTTTTTTTCCTTCTGATAAAATTCTTATTCTTATTAACAGAAGACAACTACTTTTAAGAGAAAGAGAAATTGGTGTTATGCTGTTTTTTCAATCTCTTTCTCTCTCTCTCTCTTTTTGTCAAGTAAACCTAAACTACAACGGAATTGCAAGTCAAATGTAAACGAAAAACATATGTTTTTGACGACTTTCAGATTGATGTTGCACTCACTTTACCAGAGACGGAATGTCGTCTTCTTAGATTTTAAGATCATGTTTTAAATATTGAAATTGTTTTGACGTACCTTTTGTAAAAAGGAAATTGTATCGTAAGCAAATTAAAGCCGTTTAAAAAAAGTAGAATATACGACTAAAAAGTATGCATATGATACGGAAATTGGCATCCATGTAATTAAATAATGTCAAAGTAAATCGACGAAGTGTTTGATCGCATTTAATGGGTTAGCAATGTCATTTAAGCCTGCGGTAATCAGCTGTTTACATTACTATTTCAAGAATAGCGGTAAAATGTTTTCCTTGCAAAAAGTAAGTAAATATTTTTAAATTAATTGTCACGAATAGTAAAGCTGAACATCTTGCATAATAGTTCACAAATTTGGGAATCAATATCGCATTGCAGAATATAAAATGCACTGCATCTATTCATACAACTGCGGTGTGTTCCAAAGTGCAAGCTGGGCGTTATCGTATAACTCCAAAACGTGACCGGCCGCTCACTTATGAAATGGCTTATCCGCCTCATTCAATAGCTCACCACAAAAGCTGGAATTCGTGGAACACTTGTAAGAGCACCATCAGAGTTACGGAATTAATTCATGGTTGTCATGTTTGTTCTTTTTTTCGTAGCTACAATGTTGGATGGTCTACGCCCTTCTCAGACGGCCATTGAAGATATATTTATACGTAAATTCATGACAGGCACTTGGCATTCTTTGGTAGTTTCTGAAGTGATTATAAAGCGCCAACATAATATGATTCGAATCGCAGCTATTGTACGTCAAGCAATTTCCGCTCGTAAAATGTATTTTCTTATCGGCTACACCGAAGAATTACTTTCCTATTGGATACAATGTCCCGTCACATTAGAATTGCAAACAGTCGCTGATAAAAAAGATGTTGTTTTTAAATATATTTAAAAAAAGGAAACGGATTAAAATGAACTGAGCTTGAAATCTTTTAATTTAAAAAAAATTCGCCGACTGCAGTTGCAATCGTTCGCTTGACTGATTTACCGGATTTTTATTGGCGATGTTTATCTTAATCAAAATGCTTATCGGCTGACGATGTCTGGTGAGTCTTTCCAAATTGTTTTGCATTCTTTCATAATTCTGTGAATATCCGCATATGGAAAATACAAAGACAATTGCTTTGTTCCATGTCACGTCCATAGTTACAAACATCGCTATCTTGGAGTTGAAATGTGCTTAAAAGTAAGCTATTATGAGTTCTAAGGTATTTCCATTCAACAGAGGGGTATTTGTATTGTTAAGTGGAAATGTTGTTGAGGACATTTATTGAAAGCAACTCTCCAGTCTCAACAAAAGGGAATATTTTTTTATAAACTATGTAAAAGAACAAGCATCTAACGGCTTTTAGCGAAAAATTTACCATACTGAAATTTACATAAAAATCAAAGCCATTTTAGAAGTGCACAAAGAAGTTGTAGGAAGTGAATAATTGCGAAAAAAAAAAATTGTGTATATTAAAACACTTTAGAAAAAAAAATTGTCCATTAAAATATATAGCATTTAATAAGTTAAATAAGATTTGATAATGAGAGTTTAATAAGTTAAACAAGAAAAGTGTAACTTCAAGGAAAATAAGAGCATAGTGTATTTAGTGTTTTAAAATCTTCCTTAACTTTAACAAAGTTTAGTTTTAGTTTCAATAGTTTATTGACGGTAAGTACATTTATTTCGTTTATTTAAAATTTCATATATTTCATGTATTTAACAAGGAATCCCATCTGAGATTCACATAGATTCCCTGGAAATCTCGTTGGTATCTCTAGTTGCTAGCAATTTCGAATAATTTCGTAGCCGTTATATTCATATTGGCGGCACTAAACACATATGTTTGAGACTATAAAGAGATAAGCATTGAACCAGGTAGTAACCGTTGAGATGGTGAGATGGGAGCTACAAAGGGTTAGGCGCAATTTGAAACGGCTAGAAAAAGAAAATATCATCCGTCTCACTATTTATAGCGCCTATCTATGCGTATAAACTGTGGTACAAGCAAGCCGCGGAGATAACAATGAAGCCGCGGACGATGAAACAAATCGTCCGTGACAAGAATATACTGATATAGAGAAAGGACTTCCCAGGATTTGACGAGACGGACGTAAGTAGGGATATACCAGCAACAGACGAATTGTTAGAAGGAAAAGTTAAAATGATAAATGACGCTGACACTGACGGAGAGGTATAGGGGGAAATAGAATTGACCGATGGGACTGATGGGACTGGCACGCCTAGTACACCTAGTATGCCCATAATTGATTATGGTGGATCATTAACCAGCGCAGGCAGCGCTGATGGAGGAGAATCGACGAGTCGAAAGAAACGATGCGCCACCGCCTCATAAACATGAAGATTCGCTGTATGCCAAAGGCAAATTTGCATTTATCTTTACTTTTTATTGTGTATATTTTATTTATTCCGTTTTACCTAAAATTTTAGACCAAAAAACAAGCAAACGATTCGACGGCCCCACTATCGCTTCAGCTGAATGCGATACTTCCATAGGCAAAGCTGTGTCGCTGCAGAGTAGTAGGGATGTCGGAAAAATGTACTTACTTGGCCCATCACAAAAAATGAAGTTTGTACAATCACAGCTTAATAATAAAAGATTACTTGCATCAATTGGGTATTTAAAGAGAGTTTTAATACCATTCGTTTTATGGTTTTTTCTACAATTTTAAATTATTTATTTACAATCATGGCTTTTGTGAAATTTTTTTCAGATTGAAGTAAATGTACATTTTTTCCCTGATAAAATTTATTATGTGCAATATATAAAAAGTTGAATAAAACAATGACTAAAAATACACAATACTCCAGAAGGGAAGAGAAAATATTAAAAAACAATATACGATTAAGAACCGGAAATTGTATGTGTCTCTTTCAGTTATGGTGCAAATTACAAAATGGAAAATATTCAAAAAATACAACTAGTTTACACTGTTTTTCTAAGAAAAGAAAAGTCATGTCTTTATCTCTCTACATTGGAGTTATACGAGCTAAACTAGTAGAAACGTTTACGTGAATTTTTTTCCTTGAAGTAGGAAATTGCAAAAATGGCGACTCCAACCGCTATCAACATGCCAAACAATAGAATGAAGAAAATTTTCGCATTCGACATGCTTGGCTTCGGATCATCCTTATGTTCTCGAGGCGGTTCAAATGTTTTAGCGTTGGGTATAATATTTGCGCGAGCCATTATTATCTCGGGCTGTAATTATAAAAATGTTATTTCACGAGCAAAATGAAACTTAATTTGCACATACCGTCACATTTGAATCTAGATCATAAAATTTAAAACTAAATATATCATGATTGTCCGATAAATCACCGGTAGTGGCCGAGAGACCAAAGAAATAGCCCGTAGGTAATTCCACATTGTTAACGACAAAACAGTTTTTCCATTCGCCACGGTTCTCCATATCGGTCGACACAGATAAAATGTTATTTTCGTAGCGTATACTGATGTGCGTGTCAAAGTTGTAATTACGAAAGCGTACTTCGCAACCGGCTAATTGGGTATGTGTTCCATCACGGTCGTGATCGTAACTCCAAGTCGAGTTGTTAACCATCGCACTTAAATATGGATGCTGGTGCTGAAAATCAAAATTAAAAGAAAAGGTGGCAATATTCTTGACTGTATAGTGTTTCCATATAGTGTTGTGAGGCATTAATACAACCTATATAAAATGAAGAGAATCTGTGAAATAATGAAGGAATAAAAACTTACATTATGAGGTCCATTGTGATTACTATAAGTGTCTAATATAACTACTAGACCAGAAAAATGGTCTTTACTACCGAAAACTGGCCCGGGTTGCATACGTTCCTTGGCGTACCATATGGCAAAACCGTCACCAAATAGCTCTGTACCTTTGCCGTGAACTTTAAAAGTCACATGAATTTCCCAATTCACAGTCATGCATGGCTGAAGTTATTAAAAAAAAAACTTTCCTTGAAAAATCATATCGCATAACTTGAACTTTTTAATTCACCGGAAAATTCCAAATAGCTCCACTTTTTGATTGCTGATCTGGTGTCAGTCTTATGTAGTTGCTAGTAATAACTGTATGACCCATGAAATCCCAATACGGCATATTGACACCAACACCTTTAACGAACGTATAATTAATTTTTCATGTCATTTCAAATAAACAAATATTGAATTTACCTTGGAAAGGTCTGACTAGGGAATGCTCCCTTTTCATATAATGACTGCTACTAAGAACGCAATCGTTCATTAGGGCGCCCATTAAAAAAAGAAGAATATTTTTTATGTAGTCCTTTAGCACCATTTTTCAGATTTTGTGGTATTGCAAATTTATTTTATTTTCAATGTAATAAATGCTTGATTTTATAAAAACGCTCTTTGGTTTAATGTTTAATTTTATTAGTCGGCTTTTACGTTTTTCACTTTGACAGAAATGAAACGAAGTGTTAACAATTTTGTGTATTTCGTTTGGCGTTTTTACAAAATAATTAAATAAATCATTTATTGACGTAAGCGAAGTTATCAATCGAACTACCAACAACATTGTGTGTGTAAAATTGACTGCTGTATCTAATTACAACATATACTACACAACACTGCTAATGTGCGGTGTGATCATTTGCTGATTTGCACGAGAAGAAGAAGACGACTTATGGTAAACAAAGTATTAGGTCTCATTTAAATTATTGGGAAAATCTCGGCCAACCTTATAATTTAAACAAGCGTTACGAGTCCAAGGTAGTTAGTTATAAGCGAAGCTGAAGTCGGAGTTTTCGAGAACAGAGAGGGCGAAGTCGGTCAAAAGACTCACCTGCAAAATGAGTATACCTCCGTTTTTTAAAAGGAATAAAAAATTGTTTTTTTGGTCATTACCCGTAAACGATAGCCATATTGTAGTGTATCGGATTTTAATTTTTTTCAATACCTCTATAAAGCTCAGAAATAAGTTACAAAAACCCCATAAAGTACCTTAATTAAAGGGGCATGTTGCCGAAACGTTTGTAACGCTCAGAAGTAAACGCCAGAGACCACACAAAGTGTATATTTTGTTCATCAGCTCCAAATCCTAACATGATTTAAGCAAATCCCTCTCTTCATTTGTGTATCTGTTCGTCCTTCCAGCTGTGTAGTATCTCAAGACCTTGTCTTCGTCGATTTGCAAAAGTATTTGAAAATGACCCAAACGACCCAGGTCGAAGGACGCGCTAACAACGCCCACAGATCTACGCAACAAAAACTGTAAACGTCTTTGATTTCCTTTGCTTGTTTACTCGTAAAATCCAACACATCCATCACATAAAGTTCGACTTTTATTCCGGAAAAGTCAGTCATGACCACCCAATATTATAAAGTATGAAAATTTAATCTTTTCCGGTGACGACCGAATCGATCGTTATAGTATCTTTGTTCCTGTAATGGGTTCAGAAGAAGCTCTAAAATTGGTGAATGCTCTTAAACGTTACTTTCATCCATGTGTTTTACAAAATTATGATTGAAAACAAAGCCACTATTATATACTAAGCAAACTTTTTATTCAAGAATTTATATATAATATAAATATAACTTAAATTAAAAGAGAAAGAAGGAGATAATGAGATATGTTCTACATCTTTATAGTCTTCCCTCTCAAAGGATTTACACTTTTAAAGTACAATACGTTTAAAAATTTATAGAAATGCGATATAAAAAAAAAAAATATATATATAAAAAAAAAAAAAAAAATTATTAAGAAATGTCTTTAGAAGGATAAAAGTAGATATGAAATTTTAAATTAAAGAAAAATGTCCTTAATTGTATAAAATGAAAACTCGACGAAAAATTGTAAATAGTGAGAAAATCAAAAAATCTTAAGTTTTTTTTTATTAGGTTTTTGTTTTTTTTTGTTTTTTTGTAAAGCTTAACAGAAGATTACATACTTTAGCAATAAATTTGTGTTAAGAAATTTTTTTTGATTTATATTTTACTTCTTAAGTTTGAATGAATCGCATATAGTGTTAATTGTTCGTTTTCAAGTGAAACGAAATAATTATATCTATTTTTAATATTTATAATTTTTCTTTCCTTTTTTTTTTTTTTTTTTTTCTTGTAAACATACTAGTATTTAGTCTTGGAGTTTCAATTATCCTTTTTATGCATTATATTTTGAAAACATTTGACGTGTGCGTTCATTTAATATTTGCAGTATTAAAACTGTGCTTTCATTCACACTTCCTTCATAAGTAAATACTAATAACCAATGCATTGGTTAATTTCTTAAGTAGTCTACAAAATATTGACTCTTCTATAATAGAGACGTCTTTAGTTTATCTAGTGTTTGTTTAATTTGGTATGAATCGATTGAGAAGTAAAGATATATATGGATGTTATTTCGTGATTTCTTGAAGGCTTTTGAATTCCTTTTTTTCTCAGATATATCTTTTATTCATATTTCTTTTTTATATTGATTGAACCTTCCATAATATTCTAGTAAAAAGACATTGAAAAGCATCATAAAACATTTTAAACTGCCATTGGGAGGAATACAAGATTTGAAAATATTTTTTCCAAATCGTTTTACTCGCTGATGGAATTTTCAATACTGAAATCGAGTTTTCCATCGATTAAGAAAACTTTACAAAATTCTTGATCTATGCCGTCCTTGGTTATCAAAAAGAGAATGTAAAAACGAAAAATATTCTTTCGATGATAGAAAATGAAAAAAAAAAAAGTATAATTAAAGACAAGTTTTCTGTGTTGCTTCCAATAAAATACGACTATGCATATCTGACGGACAGACTTCCATATATTATATAACTTCTACTAACTTGATCTTTCGCTATTTTGATAATACAAAAACTTTCTTTCGTTGGTTCGTAAATTTTTAGTGTGCTCGATGCAGATGAATGGAAGCAAGCTTCTGGAAGATATTAATTTGTTGAAATATATCAACATATATATATATTATATATTATCGCATTCAATTGAAGTCAAATAACTTTTGAATTAATGAAAAAAGAAAAAATGCGACCTTCTTAACCTCTTTTTTTAAGTTCATAGTTGAAAACTACCTTTTCAATGAACTCTATATAATATTTAAAACTTTCACTTTTTTATATGTTATTATCATGAAAATTTATAAAATTGTATTTGACTAATCCGAATGTAGTGAGATTGCGCATAAGCTTTGTCGTCGAATATGGTTTTAAGAATATAGCGTGAAACGTCATATAACCATCAAAAAGGGATAAATTTTTGAAATTTAACTATAATCGAGATCAACATTTTTCTTCAAATCTTCTTAATCACAGTCGAAAATGGGTTGAAACATGAAATTAATGCAGAAATATCCCTTAAGGTCTTAGTAAACAATAGATTACGATTAAAAAGTTATAATGAAGTCAAAGTTTCTTCTTTCATAATTAATTAGGACTAATTTTCGCTTGACCGTAAATGTGTGTTGTGCATAATGATAATGACATAATAATGTTAACATGTTTCACATAAATATTTCTTCCATTACATGTTTACATGTTTAATAATTATTTTTATGTATAGTAACTCAAAATTATGAATTAATACAAATAACTATTGTATTAAATTTATTTGTTTTGTTTACATAATTTCTAATGATGTTGATGATTGTTGTTAAATGATTCGCATATTTGCTACAAATGAAATACTTTCAAGTGTCGCTGCATATATTTTGTTTTATAAAAAAATCAAATCAAATTAAATTTTTTTATTTTCTGGAACCAATTGTTGTCTGCTGTCTCTGTGCTACAGCTATCCTGGTCACGTTCGTTGTTGTGGGTTTCGTTTTAATTTGGCTATGCACGGATGATGTATTGTTTATTAATTTGGCAGCAACACTTGTTGTAGTTTTAATATTTTGAGTGGAATTCCTAGTAATTTTGTTTTGTTGTTTATTTTTCGGTTCATCTATTTTACGCCTAATACTAGCAATGCGACTTTGAACTTGATTAATTTTAGCAGCCGCATTTTGGGCAGCCGTAGCAGCCGTAGCGCTGTTTATAGTTGAATTACTACGAGATGGCGGTGTAGTCGCGGATATGCGAGTTGAAAGCACTGCTATACGGGCCGCTGCATTTGTGGTTACACGTATATTAACATTACTGTTCGCTCTTTGGGGCGCATTAGTTGGACCAGCCAGACGTCTATTTGAAATTGGATTGGCCAACTTACGTGTGGCGGCTGTTTTTTGGGGAGAACTATTTGCGGAACTTGCTGTCAAAGATTGTCGTTTCGTTGGTAATTTGGATGTACGTTGACGTGTAGGACTAGTTTCCTCTACTACCGGTACAACAGTTTTATCTATTGATGGTTCTTCTTTAACAAATGTACCCTGCCGCTCTAAGCAAGATTGTGGATTTTCTTTATCTTTTTTTATGGCTGCCGAAGTTGTTGTTACTTCATTGGTTTTTCGCTTTTGCACTAAATTGCTACTGTTTGTTGTCACATTGTCAATACGTTTGCGCAAAGTGTAGTTGCTTGCATTAGCACTCGATAGGCAGGTTGATTTATATTTTGTGCTGATATTACTATTTTGTCTGGCATTTTCCCTTAAGTTGTTGCTTTTATTAATACGTTGATATTGTTTGCTATATGGCGAAATATATTGCACACGTTTACCACCACGTACCGCTGCCGTTTTTGCGTTAGCTTCGAGTTTCTCTTCTTGTAAACTTTTATCATTATCAGGTCTGACAATACGTGGTCTCGGTATTTCCGACGTTTCGTCATTTTCATCGTCATCGCTGGAATGACTGATGTTAAGATCATGTGTCGATTCCGTTTCGGAATTTTGGTCACACTCAAAACTATTAAAATCACTTTCCATTTGGCTGGGTGTATTGATTGCAGACGCACTGTGAAACTCATTACAAAATATCGTGGGAAGGGGATCTCCATCGACATTGCCGCCTAGGTTATCCAAGGCATGTGTTTCCATATTATTCGTTATTGAAGTGTATACTATTGTTTGCGTTTTATAACGGTCCTGACTAGAACGTCTTCTGCTTCTTGGTGTAGCATGGTCATCGGTCTCTAATTTATCGTAATCTTTTTCACTTGTAGCTGCACTTATATTCATATCTGTAATTTCAACGCATAATGTTTCGTCCGGTTGAGCTTCAGCTTCAGCTAAACGCAACTTTAATTCTTCGCTCATAACTCTATCAGCTGCCACTGTGTATGTTTTGAAACGATCTTTGGCAAGCTTTCGTTTTTGTTTAGGTGTTAAATTGCGTTTAACACCTGTCCCAGAAAGGGTCAAAGACTTTCTAGGTGTACTCTCAACTGAGCTATATTCATTGCACTCAGAGGGTAAAGAAGTTGAGTTGCTTTCGTTTATGGTTAAATCATCAAATGGTATGTTATCACAACAACTTTGTAATGTCATGGTGTTGTCATCGCCGCCGGCCGCTGTTTCATAATTTGAGTTGGTTACAGTTGTAGCCATGCTATGGCAATCTTCAGCTACTTCGGACTGGATGCTAGCCACACTAATCATGGAATCGAGTAATTCATCCATTAACGAGGGTGGTTTAATATTATCTAACATAAAATTGCAACTGGACATTATACTTTCGGCGCTACCCGATAAATGTGGCGGTAAATGACCTAGAGCCCTTCGGGCAACTAAACCATGTGGTAATGATTTTCTGGGAAATTTTGGCGATTTACTCGACAATTGTGGACTATGCGCAGTTATTGATTGCTTTTGCAACGAGTTGACTTGATTAGCAGTATAGTATCCATTATTTAAAGATGTGTCATGGTAATAGCCGGACATATTGACTGAATCCATACCAGAAGGTGGTCGTATATTGTCCAGATCCAAGCTATTTATACTAAAGGTCATCTCATCATCTTCACGTGTGCATGTTTGAAAATTTGCAGCCAATTTGCGCGCCTCTTGAGCTATAAATGTAGAATTGGTCATGGAATCACCATTAAAGAACAAACCAGTAGTCGCGGCTGCTGTTTGCACTTTTCCACCTAATTTAAAATTAATAGCAGTGGTTAGATTTTGTGGTACTGCTTCGTTGCTTTCTTTAGATTCCGATTCAATTTTTAATGTGCTCTCTGTCTCTGTACAAGCATCTAAGGAATTGGGTTGCGTTAAGCCAATGTATAATTCAGTATCTTGCTGTTCGATATCGAGAAAATTCATAGACATCTCAGCTATACCTGTATCTTCATTTGGTAAATTTTCAGCAAAATCATTAAGATCTTTAAAGTCGGCTGTTGTTGCTTGATCTTCATCGTAGTCAACGTCTAAATCTTCTATATCATTACCATTATCGTAACTTAAGGAAGCAACTTTAGGTGCCGTTACACTTACACTTGGAAAGCTAACATCATTAGGACAAGTATCCTCATTCCAAGTGTTATTGGAATTGCTGCCGTTACCTTTCGATAAACTATACGTTTGAGTATTAATTGCTGCACAATTCTCTCCATTGGGATTCGCATTACTTGTTCTTTGCTCTGCTGAAGACACAAACTCCATGGTTAATCTTTCTACTGACTTAAGCATCAAATCGGGATCTTTGTGTTTATCTGATGCATTATTTGCCGTGCTGTTGCTATCAAGAAATTTAGCATCGAAGGATACGGTAGTTTCCATAATAAAAGACTCATTGGATTCATCACTTTGGTGCGTGTCAATTCCACTTATTGAATCGCAATTATCAATATCACCTTCCGTTGCGGACGTTTTAAATCCAAAACCGTTCATTGTCTCGTGAACGTTCTCGTGATTTGGATGATTTTCGTTTGGTAGTGCAGCTGGACTCGCCGGAGGAGTGTTTTTTTGAACGCCTATGACGTCTTCGAGATTGTCTGGATTCCAATTCCTGGGTAGAATGTTGTTGATGAAATTGTTCTTCTCTACGTCTGGAGCTGCCATTGTGATGGTAGTGGTGGCGGGAGTGGTGATGGTGATGCTGGTGTTGGTGATGATGTAATTGGCACTTTTGGGGTGAGACGCTTCTTCCATTTGTGCAGCTGCAGACGTAGCCTGCCCGTTTTTTGGCTGGGCATTCAACAACAATAAGGCTTCACGAGTTAAGGATGTCTGCTTATGGGACACTCCTATTTTCTTCATGATGCCCGTGGTTATACATTCCATAAGGAGTTTTTCATCCCGTCTTTCCTGTTCACGTAAATGACGATTAGGTGGTAACAATCTTCCTTGTATGGACAGTGAATCATATTGTTTTAGATTTGGATTTGATTTAGTCGTAGCCGAATCACTGCTGGCTGTTCCGGATTTTTGTCTACGCAGCGCGGCGCTATGCGAGTGTTTCCGTGAGCTGCTACTACCAGGGCCGCCAGTTGTAATGTCATTTGAATCTCTTTTTTTATGCATACCGGTCAAAATGCACAACTCCAGCAACGATTTTGACTGATTATCATTCGAATCACTAGAGTCAACTGAGCTAAATGACTCGTTACCTGCTTGCGTTGATCCATAATTTCGCCTTGCATTGTTAGTGCAGAAACCAAGATTTGATTTTGGTCTATTACATCCAGCGGCAATTGCCTTTAAGAAAAATAAATGAAAACATTCTATTAAGGAATCATTCCATCACTAACCTGACTTAGCAAGTTTGTATCGTCTTCAGATTCAATAGATAAAGAACTTAGTGAGTCGTTTTGCCATTCTCTTCTATTATCCTCTACAATAGTTAACGGTTGATTTCGGTTATTTTGTTCCACTAAAGTCTCCTTATCTCCGGATGACATTGTATTACTCTCCGCTTTTTTATTGCTGCAAAATAAAGTAACGATCTTATTAATCCATAAAATTTTTAATATATATATATATATATATCAAGCTTACTTTATATTATCGGCACTTTTCAGTTTAACAGCTGGTCCAACTAAACTAGAACCTACGGTTAAATTAGATAGACCGGAAGCTACTGAAAAATTGCATGGGCTGTCCTCTACACCATATTTATTAATTTCGTCATTAACCGGTAAATATGCCGGCAAAACATTGCCTCCCATACGTAACATTGCTATGGGGTCTAGTTGTTCCACTTGAGAGCTTACCATGTTACCAAATTGTTTTTTAGCTGACTGATCTTTTGTTGAAGACTTTTTCATCCCATCTCTTATACACTGTTGTAAGATATCGAAATTATTAAGGGCAGCGCCGCTTTCTGATGCATTGGAGGACATGTCATCCGAGAGATTCAATGAACGTCTAGTTGCTGGTACTTGCATATCAGTTGACGGAGCAACTAATGGTCGTCTTAATATCCCGTATCCGGCGTCTTCTTTAGGTTCGTGAGTGCTTGAAGATGTTGATATGGATGAGAGATTTGTATGGCTACCCACTTTAGAAAGTAAAGCCGGAGTGTCCTCAGTACAATATTGCTTGGGCTCGTCATGAGCGACATCTTGATTGGTCGATCGTTCATTTGAACGTTCTGAGTATGCGCTAGGCGCTGCTGCACGATTCATTCCCATGTTTATGCAGTTGGCTAAAAGTAGATTATCATTTTTGTCTTCCCCCTCTTCTCCTTCCGATATGACATCATTAGTTGGCTGGTTAGTTTGTGTTTGATGCGTTGGCTCTTCATCTAAAATGCTCAAATTACTTAAACTGGTAGCTGTTGAAAATTGAGCTGGCGTGTTTTCCACGTGAAATGTGTTAGTTTCATCTTCGAACACACCACGTAGGCAACGTTTGCTGCTATCCCCAACGCGATGACCACTTGTTTGTGCTCGCTGAGCGATTGGAGACACTCCAGTAGAAAAGCATGCAGATGATCCCACGACTGATCCAACGTTATGTCTCGGCGATTGGGGCATGCTTTGGGTAGGCGAATCTGGTATTTCAGAAGGTGAAATTACGCCACTGGCAAGCCGACTGAATTCGCTAACCACTGAACTTTTGTCGTCTATCGGACCAACATCATCTTCTGCTAGCGAGTCCAGAGAACTTCGTCTGGAAAACATTAAAGGTGTTTCTAGAGCTGAATTAATTTGAGGCTGTTCTACTATTTGCAACTCTGGCGGTGTAAGAGGTTTTTCTTCTTCAGTGCCCTCGTTTAAAGTACTTTTACTATCTATTGCATAGTTCCGAGAAGGATTACAACGCTCCCTTTTTGATATTTTTAAGCCCTCTAATTGAGGAGACGTTTCATCTAAGCTACTTAAAGATTCGTAGCGACTGAAGTAACCTGGTGTGCCCTCCTCACAGTAGTTGACAGGTTTCTCGGGCGTATACGAACCAGAGCTATAAATATTCGTCGGCACAGTAGATAGGGGATTTGATTTCGGATATCTTCTAGACGGCTGTGCGACTGTTGCTACGGCTATTTCTGTGTTGGCCGTGCAACGTGTCACCTCGTTTTCTTCTAACTTATTAGTTGCGTCAACGTTGCGCAAATCTGTTATAGAGGCAGCATTCGAGATAACGTAGGGCGTATCTTCCGTCTGATAGCATTTTACACTGTCTTCTAATATTAATAGAATTTCACTACCATTTGTAGAAGGATTTTCGTGTTTTTGTTGTTTCTTTGGCGTCGTGGTTACAATATGATTGCTATGCTCAATTTCAACGGGCGATAATTCTAAATCACTTTCGAGATGATTTTCCGCGTAACGCAAACTAAAATCAGTCGGCTGGTCTAAATCGGTCTCTTGATAGGGGGTCGCATTCGCTGACTCGTCGCGTTCATCATCTGTTTGTTTGACATTCTCATTGTATTTGACAGAATAATCAATAGGCTGCTCTTCAGCTGGTTCAACGTCACGTTTCAAAACAAAAGCTGCTACGGCTGGGCGAGAAATATGCTGAATTTTACGATTCGCATCCGACGCAGAATGGGAACGCATGAGCTGTTCGTAGACCGCAGTATCGGATTTGGCCGAAAACACCGAGTCGCGGCTCTCACTTTTGCTAAGCATGGCGGAACGGGTTAGGCGTCCGGCTGCTGGTGGAATAATATTGAACGCGCCTGTTAATGGATATCGATGTCTCTGTATTGTCGAACTAACAGCAGCAGTTGCATCGTAGGTAGGTCGATCTTTAGTGTTGCTTGTGTCCAAATTGTCACATGTTTCTGCGTGAGACGTAGAAGCCGCGCCTAATTCTTGTTCTAGAGCTTTCTGTTTTCGTACATTTAAAGTAGGCAGTTTTTTCAGATTTAATGATCGCGCTATTGCATCCAATTGGTTAGTGTTCTGTGCCGAAGGTCGAAAATTTAGCAAATTTTTAAGAGCGCATGCACTTCCTTCTGAAATCATCGCATGTTTTGAATGTATCAGAGAACGTAACATTGGCACTGCTCCATTATCCCATAAGAACCTTTGATCTTCCGGACAACGGGCCGATAAATTCCATAACGTACCACAAGAATTACTGACCACCGTCAGGCTTTCGGACTTAAGCTGTTGCAATAAAATTGCTAAACAATTATGATCTCTTAATATTTGACGATAATCTTCGCGTACCGCTATGTGGCTAGATACGTTTCGTAGTATACCACCAGCGTTTTCGATAATTTTGAGCGTTTTGCTGGGGCCTTCGTAAGTAAGCATTTTGACTATAAAGGAAAGAGCTCCATCAACACCGCAGAACTCAGCCTTATTTGTGCTACAATGGGCAGAAAGATTCCACAATGCCGAAAGAATAGCTTTGAGAGTATTTTCACATTTATTTTTCATAGCTGCCTTAGCAAGAGCAGTTACCGTGCCTATTTCATTTAATACAGCCTTCATTTGGGTGTCTGCTCGCCACGACAGATTCCGCAAGACGCTGGCTGTAACTTGTAATAGATCATCAGGTGCCGAATCTAGCTGAGCGACAAGAGCTTCCATAAACATCTTCTGGCTGCATAACAAGGCCTTATTATTCTCATCTCCAAAGGTGAGATTTGTAAGGGCCATTAAAGCGAAACGTCTTAGAGAATTGCAGCATTGATTTTCGGGTTTGGGCCCGTGCGCAGCCTGATCTAAATGCACCAGATTTGGTATAGCATGTAGGGCTCCTAGTTCGCACATAGCGTGACGATGTTCCTCATCGAAACTCACCTTCATGAGTGAAGATATAGCAGCCAGGGGATGACGATCAGCGTCATCGGCTATAGTTTCACCACCACTTTGTAACAAAGTGCGTAAAAAATTACAATAATCCATTATTTGGTCGAGTAAACGTAAAACCTTAGCTTCCCGACGACCGGCCTTCTCATCGACATTCGAATGCACGACATTATGCAAAGCCATACCAGCCCACTTGCGTACATCTTCTGGACTACCTTCGGCGTGAATCATTTGCACTAGCAGTGGAATACAACCAGATCTACGCAATGTATTACACGTTGCGGGCGTACGCGACAATTCGTGGAACTTTTTCGCCATTTCCAAAGGGTCATTTGAACCCAGCATAGATAAAAGAGAATAAACACATTCCACTTTCGGTCCCAATGTATCTAATTTATCTACGCCTGAACCATCGGTATAACGACTGTCGAAACTCTGGGTCCATGCTGAGCCTTTAGGTAAACGCATAATTGGTACATCTTTAAGACGATCGCGTGACAAACGTAATCCAGTTAATGCGGAACGTTGCTCATTATGGCGTTCAAAATTACGATCCAAACTACGATGCTCGCGCACTTGTTGATCTGTTAACATATAATCAGGAGGTATGGGATTTTCATCTAAAAAATGTTTGAGCGGTTTCTCTTTTGTGGGATTGAGTTGAAGTGTGTTGTCATCTTGCGTGAATTCTTTCTTAGTATAACCATTGGCTGCCAGTTCGTAATCACTAATCTCACCATCACGTTCAAATTTCTTCTCAATTTTATATTGCTTGTTAACGCTCGTTGGTCTCTCTTGTAATGGAGATTTTGTACAATTGCTAAGATTTAGAGAGGTTTTAAAATGTTCAACGAAATCTGGAGGGGGCACGGCATCATAATCTAAAAAATGCGGCTTTTTCGTAGGTACCGAGTCGACGTCAACCTCTACGTCAACATCCACATCGGCGTCATCAGTAAAGCTAATGGAATCATCCAAATCTGGTGTCACCACTGGCACTTTCTCACTGCTCTTCGATGACAATTTTTGTTGTGCTTCGGGTTGATACATTTTTCTTTTCTACTGTTTTTTAGATTTAGAAATCTTTACAACCTTTGGTACGGTATGTTGAGGTCCCGTGTTCGTAACAGAATTATTGTTAGTATTGTTAGCACTTTATTCATTCATATCTGACTTTCTTACATTTTCGTCTTTTTTTGAAAGCTCTCTCTCGCCTATAAAATAATATAATAAGGAAAAGAAAGAAATATAAAATATTGTTTTGTTTGTTTGTTTGTTTGTTTGTTTGTCTGTTTGTTTGTAAAAACTCAAGCGATCGTTTAATAATTTTTTCAAATAATTTCTCTCACATATTAATAACAACAGATACGATTAAAATTTGTTACGGGTCATTGGCTATTTTTACCCGGGAATAAATAAAAAAAATCGTACAATTTTATATGATGATCGCCTATATTTAGATGTGCAACTTAGTTTAATTATTGCACGAGTACTATAAGGCTTGCCAGTCAGCCGCCAAATGAGAGTTAAGGGACTCTGATGTTATTCGTTTCTACATGTAGATGCTATGCTTTGCATTTGAAGTGTGAAAACCGCAAAATGTGTTTATGTTGCAGCTAAATATTATGCTATACTAAAGATAATGTGGTCAAAATATTGTATAAATGCAGCCGTTAAATGCTGTAACGCAGGCGATGAATTTGCTCTATAATCTGAAGTCAGTAGGAATAGATGAAAGACAAAGAAAGAAATATGAAAGAAAAAAAAAAATATTGCTAAACGCAGAGATTAGCGAAGCCATGTATACAAACGCTATATATAAATATTAGGTTGGAGCAAAAGAAATCAATTATCTTTTCGGTTAGATGGCTACAGTGATCGACATCTCGTCAAGTCTCGACTAAACAATTTCAGATTCATGCTCGTTGAAAAGGTAACTAAAAAAAAAGTTTGCTTGTGAATTACAGAGTGTATAGAGTCGAACTCAACAAATGCAAGAGAAACATGATAATCGCTGCTTTATTGCGCTTTAACTACGATCGTTTACGTACAACGTTGTTGTATGTGACCCATTTCTCATTCCCACTCAACACGATTTCATTCTGTTTGGCCAAAGTTTCGCCGATGGAAATTCGATCGATAATTTCTTTTTCTCCAACCTATTATTTATACGTCTTGCTTACGCTATATGTGACGCGATTCATAAACGACTCTCATTTTGCATATTTGTGGATGTTTTAAAAGTTTGTAGAGCGGATATTCCAAAGTAGAAAACCTCATAAATATTTATAGCTTTGAAGATGATATTTAATATGGGCAAAGGACTTTTGCGGCAAATTACAATACACTAATTCATTCTGAAGCGAAACGATGCCTTTGGTTATACTCTCTCTGAAAGATTACGTTCCACTTAAAATTTTAATTTAAAAGCTTTGAAACCGATTCGACCGAATAAAAACACTGCACATGGGAAGTCGGAGGAAAAGTGCCCCGATCCAAATCATTTTCAATTTTATTTGTCCTTGGGGCAAAAATTTGTCAGTACACGAAATTTCATCAAAATATCTCAAAATTTGCAGCTTGCAGGTTGAACACAAAGGGACAAGGTGGGTGGACGGACAGACAAGCTTATCATAAGAATTACTTTCTGAATCTACCTCAAGCCTTCCTGGGTGTTGCATACCTCCGCTTAATATACCCTTGTACCACAAGTGGCATAATGTGTAATAAATTGTTGTAGTAAACTGGAGATGTTAGTTCATTTGTTTGTCAAACAAAAATTTTACAACATGACCCGGTACAACTTCAGAAGCATCTTTTCAGGTAGTAACAGCACGTGAAGAAGAGTGCGGCTGCGCATAAAGAAATTCATCTCTGCCTGAAAAAGTATGCGAGAGATGTGGTTCATGATTGCCTTCCATACTTCCATCCTTTCCCAAAAGCAAAAATACTGTTAATTATATCAAAAGGCACCTTAGCTCTACAAAGGATATGGGATAGGAATGGGTTAGCTACTTAGGAAGTGTTGAGCACTAGGCTGTAAAAAGAGAATAAGCAAAAGATGAAATGCTGCTCGCACACCAAGGTACGATCTTCTGTAAGCAATGGGAAGAAAAAAGCTGTGAGACACGAATGAAGAGTTGAAATTGTTTGTAGGCAAGAAAGGGAAGCTTTCTCTTTATTCGGTCAGTTGTTGGCGATGAAAAGTACATTTTTTGTAGAGCTAGTAAGAAAATCCATCTTTTAATCGAATGCTAAGCAAGAAAGGAATGATTAGGACGAACAGAACGAATTACCAATTCCATCCATGGCCATCTTATTGGAAATAAAAAATTAAGATTCTCACGTACTCTGAGCGGGCCTTAAAAAAATCTCAAATTCGAATGTTTTCTCATAGGAAAACTTGCGCACCATTCCCTGGTCCCCCTGTATCACTTCTTTCAACCTCCAGCACATATGCTTTCTGAAAGCGGATGAGGGAAAACTTGAAAATGGTCAAAGTAGGTAAAATAGTTTGCGTTTTACGTAAGGCGATTATGCCCAAATGCCTGAAGAATGTAGAACACTACTTCGTAATAGTTGTTATTTATTATGAACTATTTTTATCATATTTCCTTTAATTATGATATATCCATAATTCTGATTGTCACATCTATCTACATATGCGTATGAGAAAAAACAAAAATTACAATTCAATATTTAGATGATTATAACATGGTTAGCAATATTTGGTACCGATAGCGTTTACTTAAAATCAAAAAAAAAAAAAAAATGAAAAACACTATATGCCTAAAATAAACAAAAGCTAATTTGTTGACGTCACTAATTGTGGCCATCGTAACACATACTGCTAACTAAAATTGTTTGCGATATATACAAAATAAAAGCTAATAGAATGCAAACTTAAATTTAAACTCATTCCACTCTTATGGATTAGAAAGTTTTCATTTTGATCGAATTTCCAGTGCATGACTTTAATTCAAAAACCAAATTATTATATATATATATGTATGTATGTATGTATGTATTTCAAATGAGTTTTCTTGTCTTCCATATACAATACAATAACGTTATTTTCATCTAAATATACAGACAATTTTCAACATTAATACAATAGTTTCCATCGCTTCTTTTGCAGATTGCTACTTTTCATATTATATGAAAATAATGAAAATTATTACACTTGTTGCACTCATTCATTCAGCCAACAATCCATCGTTCAACGACGCGTAGGTTACATTCGGCATAAAAGCGTACAAAATTGTTCTCAACTTTACATCAATTCAAGTTCAGTTTAATGCAAGTGCATAGTTAGATACTACCACCCATACATGCGTACCTACTTACACATAAATACTTGCTTAGGGAAAAAGGAAAAATCAAAAAAAAAAAAAAATTAATAAATAAATAAAAAAAAAGTCGAAAAGTTCGGATTTGTGGCGAATGTTTGATACACGCTAAGCCAAATCAATGCATAAGAGATCTGCAAATGAAGTACGACACAAATCGTTCTGAATTTATCTTATAACGATTTTTTAGCATCAAGTTTTACCACAAAATGCTTTACAGTTTACGATCACATAGATAGGAAATTAATGTTTTTTGTTCATTGCATTCATGTCTTTCTAAACGGATTACGTCTATTTTTATGCTAGACATTCAAATAGATGGCTAGATAAAGAAGGTTCAAATTCTAGATTACTACTTGCTCTCTTGTATTCTACATTTTCTGATTTACAATGGCCATAGGCCATCGGATTGACACATTTATTACCAAACTTGACCTGTGGCCATCCATTTTTCTTTCTACTTTCAGTTTTCCGCCTCAATTGCCATGACTGCGAGTAATCTCAAAGAGAACCTACCTCTTGGCAAACGTACAAAGGGCCAAGACTGTTCTGATCGAATCAAAGTCTTACGCTGCTCTAGAATAACTAACTGCATCATACTTACTCTGGTTGTTGCAAAGGTAAGAACGAATACTATATTTTTGTAATGCAATTGTGGTTATGGAGAAGAATGCCAATAAGTTGTGTTTGATTTAAAACACATTTTTTTTTTTTTTTTTTTTTGCATCTGTTATTTGTTGGTTGTTTCTCTTGTTACATCTAGCGCCAGTTTATTTTACCTTATTATATTTTTTAATAGGGGAGAAGTACACATCTGTTTTGTTCAACTTAGTTAGCCCAATCGTTTTTCTTAAATCTATTTCGATATAGAATAGAAAGATGATCTAGGAATCCATAGCCCTAATTCAGGTTTCAAGGTGAACGTGATTTTTCTCGAATAATGAAAAAAAGACTGTAAATTGATTCAACATTTTAAACAAGGCATATATATATATATATATATAAACTGAAAAATGTCCCGAAACTGTACCATGGTAATTGTAACGTTCCAGTTATTGGTTACAGAGAGAGTTGATCTTGATTCGGTCGTGATAACAACTACGACGCCAGAATATATTTTTATTTTTCGATTATTTTTTTCGTCGCCAATTAAAACGTAGTCATCATACATCGCGTACACGTCATGATTTTCAATGAGTATCTTCGGCAGATATATATTTCAGCTTTGAGCTTATCTGCTATAGTCCACACATTAAATTAGTGAACGAGTGGAAAGGTAGCTGTCAACGGCATTTTACATGCAAGTTTAGTGCAGAAACTATATATGTTGGCTAAGCGCGCAAAATATTAAGTAATCTTTGGAAAAATGATTCTACTTTTATGCCTTATTTTGAAAGAAATATTTCACCATAAGTACGTGCAAGCGTAATATTCTACGTAAATGAAAAATTTTCATTATACTTCAAGAGAAACTTATGTAGAATCCATGTAGAAACATCCGTCTTTTAAAAGAGCGGACAGTCTAGATAATAGTGCAGGAAGATTTCTCCCAAGTTACATAAAGGGTTTGTTCTTTGATTGTAGTAGTGCAGGAAGATTTCTCCCAAGTTACATAATCGATTCGTTCTTTGATTGTAGTAGTGCAGGAAGATTTCTCCCAAGTTACATAAACGGTTTGTTCTTTGATTGT